CAGACAGGGCGGTGACAAAGGCGGTAAGGGTGAGGTCACCTGGGTGCTGACTAAGGAAGTGGTCGCGGGCAGTGGCTAAGCAGTCCGGAAGGCACATGATAATGAGGTACACGGTAGCGCAAAAGGGCAGGGAGAAGGCAGTGAGCTGGGCGGCAGAGCTAGCAGCACGGTAGCTAGCCTCTAGTGCACGGAGGTGAGTGGCTAAGTCAGCTATAGTAGGGAAAATGGCAAGATCAAGGAACAGCATAGGGAGTATCAGGTGGCCAGCAGAGGCGGAGGCGGGCGTGGAGTAGCGTGCAACTACTGCATCTAATAAATCCTCGGCATATGCGACAGCAGTGAAGTGCGGACGCTCAGACAGGGGAAGAGCATGACTAATGGCTAGTTGCGCTACGGCATCGCGGAAATCCCAGACAGCGTGAGCAAGCGCAGCAGCAGAAAAGGCCTCATGCAGTGGTGGGGTCATCAAGGAGGGGATCAGGCGTGGGGGGGCGGGGAAGCAAGCCATCACTGCTCAGCCAGGGAGTGCCCATCCTGTGTGGTGACAGCGTAGATCAACAAGCCAGGTAGCGAAGTCGATCACGTGCCCCTCCGCGTCCAAGAGGAGTACAGAGTCCGCCATCGTTCGACCTCAATGATACCGCTCCACGACGGCACGGCGGCATAGCGACCCAGCTACAGAGCGGTACAGCGACACAGCGACACAGATACACAGCGACACAGCAGCGCGGCGGCAGAACTCCCTGGCAGGAAGACCGAGCGGAAGGCCGAGCGGGGCTCACGGGGTGGGAGGGCCGGACGGGGCGCGAGGGGCCGGCGGGGCGCGTAAGGGACCAGCGGGGCGTGAGGGGCCGTCGGGGCGTTAAGGGACCAGCGGACGCGCGAGGGGTCGGAGGGACGCTAAGGGCTGGCGGGGCGCAGGAGGGACCAGTGGGGCGCGAGGGGCCGGCAGGGCACGTAAGGGACCAGCGGGCGCGCGAGGGGTCGGCGGAGCGCTAAGGGCCGGCAGGGCGCTAGGGCCAGGTGGGGCGTTGGAGGGACCAGCGGGGCGCGAGGGCTGGGCGGGACGCGAGGGGCGTTAAGGGACCAGCGGGCGCGCGAGGGGTAGACGAGGCACTAAGGGCCAGCGGGGCGCTAGGGCCAGGAGGGGCGCGTAAGGGACCAGCGGGGTGAGGAACTAGCGGGGCGTGCTAACAGGGCTGGTGGGGCGCTAAGGACTAGCGGGGCGCGCTAAGGCCAGCGGGGCGCGCTAAGGGAACGGCGGGGCGCTAGGCTAGGGCGAGGGTGGAAGCGGGTGGGCGGACCTAACCTACTATGATACCATATAAGAGTAGCAGAATGACTAGAAAACAAGGTACATAATGGTTTTGACCTAAATTGTTGTACTCACTAAGGCATGCCCCTATCTATTCTACTGTGACATATACAAATATGTTTGACAATCAGAGTGGTCCAGGGTTCAATTCCTGGTGCACACGCTACCCCAGAGGGAGGGTGTGTCATGGCACTGGGATAGTCCTGTCGAACCTCCTCTCTCTCTAGGAAGGGTACTAGGGAGGCTTTCTTTGGGGAAGGTGGATATATGGAGCCTAACCCTTCTGAGGACATCCCTTCTTGTCCCAGTGGTTAGGAATGGTGACTTTATGACATATTTTCCATCTGCATCATTTAGACTACATATGGGGGATCTAGGCAGGGCATTATTCCTACCATGCTAGGTTGTTATGCAAAATAACATAGGAGGGTTTCATTTTTTTTTTGCAACATAACAGAATACCGCCTACCCATAACGAGCTGGACTGCTGGTGACCTTGAGTTCAGCACGTGTGTCTATTGGAGCAGCACCTCGCCACTCCAAGGTCCGCGTGGCACTGCTGCCCCGTCACCGATCGCCGCTTGGCGTCATTTCCGTCCCTTCTCCGCCATTCACCGCCACCTGCCTCCCAAATCTTCGCCCCCCTCTCTGACCTGTCCTGCAGCCTCCCTTCCCTCCCCTCCCCCTCGTTCCCCCTTCCGCGCCTCAGCTCCACCAACCTCCACTCTCCGCGCGACCCGCCTGGGTGGTGCTCAACATAAATCTTTCCTTCTCCCCTCGCCCCTACCTTCCAGACCCAGGTGACTGATAATATTACCTCTTTTTTCGCCGTCCCGTTGCCTGCGTCAACAATGGCTGCCGCCGTATCCGCCCCTTCCCCCGCATTGCGCGGCGCCGTCTCCGCGGCGTGCCATGTTGCCGCCCCCAAGGCCAGCAGCAGCGCCGCCTCGCCAGCGCCGCCTGCACCGCGAGTGACGCTCAGATCGTCGTTCACGCAATCGCCCACCGCCGTCACCGGCAGGAGCCGGTCGAGTAGCTGCCGTAAAATCGCTGCGTCGCGGCGGCGATCGGCAGTGAGCGCGTCAGTGGCAGCGTCGGCGCAAGATGCGCATTTGGCGGCGGCGGAGGCGGAGTGGGCGAAGCTGTCGAAGGTGTGCGCAGTGCTGGGCACGCAGTGGGGCGACGAGGGCAAGGGCAAACTCGTCGACATCCTCGCACAGCGATACGACGTCGTCGCACGCTGCCAGGTGAGGCGCGGCAGGGAGAGCGGGAGAAGATGGACGGGAATTGTAGAGTGAAAGGTTCTTAGACAATTTAGAGAAACTCCACAACTATTTACGCGCGGAGTACACTGCCTTGAGGAATGGAGCAGCACAATGCACTCAGAAGACGCTAACCTCATTCACTTTCGCAGCCAAAATGGGGGTTAAGTGAGGGGGGCAGCCGTGAGGGGGGCAGCAGTGAGGGTGGCAGCGGTGAGATGGCGAGTAAATGGCAAACGCCAATGGCGGGCGCGACTTGATCAACGCCTGTGCTTTCTCGAATGTGTTGACGCCAATGCAAAGGAGCCAGGGAATTGAGCAAGACGCACTATTGTCGCTTTACCGCCGCTGTTGTCCGCGGGATGGTACGCGGGGAGTCCGCGGCGCGCGGCGCAATGTGTTCTCCGCCGTTCCAACCCCGCCCACTACCCCCAATCCGCCCCCGTCAGGGCGGCGCGAACGCGGGGCACACGATATACGACAGCACGGGGCGGCGGTTCGCGCTGCACCTGGTGCCGTCGGGCATTCTGCACCCGAACGCGACGTGCGTGGTGGGCAACGGGCCCGTCATCCACCTGCCGGGTTTCTTCAAGGAGCTCGACGGGCTCGAGGCCAGTGGCGTGCGCGTGGCGGGGCGCATCCTGGTGAGCGACCGCGCGCACCTGCTGTTCGACCTGCACCAGACCGTGGACGGGCTCCGCGAGGCCGAGCTCGCCGGCGATAAGATCGGCACCACCAAGCGCGGCATCGGGCCCTGCTACGCCAGCAAGGTGCGCCCAGGGGGGGGAGGGGCGGGTGGGCTCGTGGGGGAAGGAGGGGAGGGAGGGGAGGGGGGATGTGAATGGGCCGAGTGCTGTGTGGAGAAGGGGAGGGTGTGTGTGCGGGGAGGGAGAGCGGAGGGGGGGCGGTGGGATGAGTTGTGGGAAGGGGTGATTGTAATGGGGGAAGAAGTAGGGGAGAGCTCGGTGGCTCGGTTGGGCATGCTGGTTGGCTTTTGGGTGATATGGTGGGTTGAAATGGGATTGAATGTCACTTGGGTGTGGTGACGTGTGAATCCCCGTTTGAATCACCTTGAAGCCGAGGAAGAGAATGGCTGGGAACGCCACTCCCGTGCATGCCCCCCTGCCCCCAGGCGATCCGCAATGGCTTGCGGGTGTGCGACCTGCGGCGCATGGACACGTTCCGCGCCAAGCTCGACACGCTGTACCGCGACGCCGCAATGCGCTTCCCCGCCTTCACCTACTCCGAAGCCGACCTCGACGCTGAGGTGGCACGCTACCAGGAGTTTGCCGCCCGGCTGGAGCCGTACATTACGGACACTGTTCACTACGTGGGCGAGGCGGTGCGCGGCGGGCGGCGCGTGCTGGTGGAGGGCGGGCAGGCGACGATGCTGGACGTGGACTTTGGCACGTACCCCTTCGTGACCTCCTCCAACCCCTCGGTGGGCGGCATCTGCACCGGCCTCGGCATCCCGCCACGCGCCCTCGGGGATATCATCGGGGTGGTGAGTGGCAGCATGCGTGCAGTCTACTGCCTCCCAGCAAGTTTGGCAAACCAGCAGCTGCTTCTCTCCATTATCTGACCCGTGAACCACCATGCCTGACCCACCTTACCCCCCCTCTCCCCAGGCGAAGGCGTACACGACGCGGGTGGGCGAGGGGCCCTACCCGACGGAGCTGTTTGGGGAGCTGGGCGAGCAGCTGCGCAAGGCGGGCCACGAGTTTGGCACCACCACAGGGCGGCCGCGGCGCTGCGGGTGGCTGGACGTGGTGGCGCTGCGGTACGCGTGCCACATCAACGGCTTCAGCGCCCTCAACCTCACCAAGCTGGACGTGCTCTCCGGCCTTCCCGAGCTCAAGCTGGGCGTGGCCTACCGGGCGCCTGATGGCTCCGTGCTGCCCGCATTCCCGGCAGACTTGGAGCTGCTGGGGCAAGTGGAGGTACGCAATGCATGCGGGGGTTATCGATGGATCCAGTGCATGCTTGGGTGGGGCATCAGGTGTATGGTCCCCATTCATCATGGCCTTGTGGGATTGTGGTGTGTGTGCGTGTGCAGGTGGAGTACGAGACGGTGCCGGGATGGCAAGAGGACATCACAGGCGTGCGGTCCTTTGAGGAGCTACCCGCCAACGCGCAAGCATATGTGAGGAGGATTGAGCAGCTCCTGGACGTGCCTGTGCGCTTCATTGGCGTGGGGCCCGGCCGGGATGCCATGATCGTCCGCTCATCCGAGTAGACTGCCAACCTGGACACTTCAGAGTAATAAAACGACGTCATTATTAGCCAATAGCTTTCCTGATGTTATGAAAAGAGTGTAATAAAGGCAATGGAGCTTGCTTGAAAAAGGAAGTAATTGGAGGAATGTGCCCAAGGAGGGGCTCTTAGGGTACAGTAAATGACTGCAGAATCCCGAGTGCACAGTTACAATCATTCCCGTCTCGCATATCGCGTATTTGAGCTGTCCTTAGGGAGCCCCTCGTTCACTCGGTTCTCAGTTACGTCTCTCGCTGTCGCACTCGTCAGTCGCCCCAGTTGCCTAGCAAGCCTTCCACGCCACCCCGAGCGCCGGCAGCATGCAGATCTTCGTGAAGACGCTGACGGGCAAGACGATCACGCTGGAGGTGGAGAGCAGCGACACCATCGACAATGTCAAGGCCAAGATCCAGGTAACCTCCGCGCACCTGCCGTGCCGCCCCGCACCAACGCCGCTCCGCGTCCTGGGTGCGACGCGTGGTCTGATAGCGGTGTGCGGTGCGTGGTGTGTGGTGCGTGGTGCGTGTGAGGCGCGCGCAGGATAAAGAGGGCATTCCGCCGGACCAGCAGCGGCTGATCTTCGCGGGGAAGCAGCTGGAGGATGGGCGCACGCTGGCGGACTACAACATTCAGAAGGAGTCGACGCTGCACCTCGTGCTGCGGCTGCGCGGCGGCATGATGATCAAAGTGAAGACGCTGACGGGCAAGGAGATCGAGATCGACATCGAGCCCACGGACACCATCGAGCGCATCAAGGAGCGTGTGGAGGAGAAGGAGGGCATCCCGCCCGTGCAGCAGCGGTAAGCAGGGCGTGAGGGTTCCGCTTTGGTCCACGTCTCTTGCTAATGATGCTGCCTGACACGGGCTGTGCTGTGCTCACATGTGTGCTGACACGGGCTGTGCTGCGCTCACATGTGTGCTGACACGGGCTGTGCTGCGCTCACATGTGTGCTGACACGGGCTGTGCTGCGCTCACATGTCTGCTGGCATGGGTTGTGCTGGCATGGGTTGTGCTGCGTTCACATGTGTGTTGGCATGGGTTGTGCTGCGCTCACATGTGTGTTGGCATGGGTTGTGCTGTGCGCACATGTGTGCTGGCATGGGTTGTGCTGCGCTCACATGTGTGTTGGCATGGGTTGTGCTGCGCTCACATGTGTGTTGGCATGGGTTGTGCTGCGCGCACATGTGTGCTGGCATGGGTTGTGCTGCGCTCACATGGGTTGCATTGAATGGCAGGTTGATCTTCGCGGGCAAGCAGATGAACGACGAGAAGACGGCCAAGGACTACAGCATCGAGGGGGGCTCCGTGCTGCACCTCGTGCTCGCCTTGAGAGGCGGCCAGCCCTGATGCCACATGCTACACGCTCCATGAGTGATGCTTCATGCCTCACAAGTTCTTTAGTGGCTGTAGTTACCTAGCAGTGTGGCTCACCAGGTAGTGCAGGAGGCAAGGCCTTAGCCTCATTGTGTTGCACTTATCGTTGTCCTGTGAAGGCCTTATGGCATAGGCTTTATCAATTTCCCTGGAAAAAGGCCATTCACAGCAGGAGCAGCGTGGTCATTGTGGGTCAACGCGTGTGACGGGCAGCCCCAAAGCAGTGAGCTGCGGCATGACGGCAGCAGCGTCAGCCACCACGAGGATGGGCTGCTCCGTGGGGTGCAGCCAGCGTTGCGCCGCCACCACCACCTGGTCTGCTGAGAGTGCCTCGACGCGGCGCTTGAACTCAAAGATGAAGTCCTGGTCGATGCCGAACAGCTCGTACGTCATGATGCGACTCAGCTGTGCGCCACTGCCACACACACAGGCGCGTGCAAGGGAGGTGGGAAAAGAGTGTGGGGCTCCGGTGCAGGAGACATGAAATAGGCCTGGGGTGCAAGAAAAGAGAGCGTGGAGCGCACACGGACAGAGGGCTGGTGGAACGGTACCTGTCAGCGAAGTTGAAGACGAAGGAGTTGAGCACGCGGTCCTTGGCCTGCTGCAGCTCATCTGCTCGCACACTCATGCAGAGAGACACACGGCAACGGCCAAGGGTGGTGGTGATGCTTGCTCAATGCACAGTGTCATTGCGATGGCGGATGACCACCAGGAGGCATGGCACGGCAAGGGCTCACCTGGCGAGGGCGAGTCCAGGGTGGCCTCTGCCAGCACCCGCTGCACCGCTGCTATGAACCGCCCCACTGACTCCGCCCGGGTCTCACCGCCCCCCACAAACGCCCCCTGCGCTCACAGCACACACAGAGGGAGGGAGCTCACGGCTTTCAATCCCAGGGCGCTATGAACTGAGAGCCGAATGTGAAGCGGGCAGCACGGGCGAGAGAGGCAATGGGGAGCAGATGTAAGGCGCAGCACAGCACTGTGAGCAGGTGCGAGCATGTGTGAGCAGGTGTGAGGTGGGGCAGCAGCAGCAGCAGTGGCAGCAGCAGGAGCAGTAGCGGTGGCACCCACCCGGTGGTCGACGCCTGGCGACCACGAGCCTGACACTGAGTACGCCAGGCCCTCCTGCGACCGCACCTTGTGGGGGAGAGGGGGGGAGGGAAGACCGCGCACGTGGCGAAAAGAAAGGGCGATCAGGGAATGGGAACCCGATTCAGAGAGCAGTAAGAGGGGGAGAGCTGTGCGGGAGGGAGCGGGGGGCGAGGGGAGCGGCGTTACTTGGTCGAAGAGGCGGCCGCCGAAGCCGTTGAGGATGGAGTTAAGGACGTCCAGGGCAAACACGTCCGGGTCGCTGATGGTCGTGCCCAGCTCGCCCACTCGCACTATGCTGCACCAGGAGGGGGAAGGGTGGCGCAGGGCAGAGACGGGGCACGAGCAAGAGAAGCAAGCATGGCGGGAGTCAATTGGCCAGCATTCGACATGTGGAGTGCTGAGAGGCGTCGCTGATCTCAGCACTCCCCCGCCTGTGAATCCCTCCCTTTCCCATTGGTTAACCTGAGCTACCGCTGCTGCCCACCTCTGGGTGAGCCCCGGTCGGTCCACCACATAGACGCCCGCTGCACTGGCCGCCACGCCCTCCTCCGGCCCCCAGTATGGTTCTGGCCGGGACCCGCCTCTGCCACCCCGGCTGCTGGTATTGCTACTGCCAGCAGTGCCCCAGGGCTGGAAGGTGGCTTCTAGAAGGGCCCTCATCTGCTGCGGGTCGAAGTCGCCCCACATGCCCAGCACCGCCTGTGAGGGGTCGCTGTAGGAAGCTGCATGGAAGGCACGCAGGTCGCTCAGGGAGATGCGTGCCACGTCAGCGGCGAGGGGGAAGCGGCCGCGCGGGGAAGCGGGGCTGTAGAGCAGCCGCTGCAGCTCCCGAGACGCCATGCGGGCAGGCTGGGGGGGTGGGGGAGGGAGGGAGAGGGGAGGGAGCGTGAGAAATGGATGGAAATTAAGGGAAAGGGTTTAGGGAGGCAGCGGACTGCTCTTGGCTTGTGGTGGAGAGTGGGACGTGCATGCATGATGCAAGGCGGGGCACAAGGGTGGTGAGGAACGAATGGGGTTTAGTTGTGATGGAGCTTGACTGACGGCTGAAAGGGTGGGTGGTGAGCTGGCAGGAGTTGAGCGGGACTGACATCGTCATTGCGGCGGGCGATGGAGCCGAGCAGCTGAGTGCGCGAGAAGGCGAGCTTGGAGGCAGGCAGCAGAGGGGAGAGCACCACTGGCAGGGGGGAGGGGAGAAAGAGGAATGAGTAGGCGCGCACAAAGAGCCACGCAACCACAAAAAAGGGGCACTCAGATTCAGGCTCAAGTGAATGCTATCAGGATAGGCAGTGGCAGGCGTGACTGACCGTCTCGGAAGAGCGGCATGAGGGTGGGGACATCTTCCTGCAGGCAGCGGAAGGACGCCGACAGCGACGACGTGCCCGCTGACGTCTCTATGGACGCTGCCAGGGACTGGTGACACGGGGTCAGCAGAGAGGGGTGCAGGGAATGGGCTGGGAGTGCGAACGGGTGAGGCAACAGGGCGGGGGGCTGGCGAGGTGGGGCCAACAACGAGATGTGGAATACTGACGCAGCAGATTCGCGGGTATGCCTGATTCCGTGTGGCCCATGGCGTGCCATCCCACCTCCAGCATGCCATCCCACCTCCAGCATGCCATCCCACCTCCAGCATGTCATCCCACCTCCAGCATGTCATCCCACCTCCAGCATGTCATCCCACCTCCAGCATGTCATCCCACCTCCAGCATGTCATCCCACCTCCAGCACGTCATCCCACCTCCAGCATGTCATCCCACCTCCAGCATGCCATCCCACCTCCAGCATGCCATCCCACCTCCAGCATGCCATCCCACCTCCAGCATGCCATCCCACCTCCAGCATGCCATCCCACCTCCAGCATGTCATCCCACCTCCAGCATGCCATCCCACCTCCTGCATGTCATCCCACCTCCAGCATGTCATCCCACCTCCAGCATGTCATCCCACCTCCAGCATGTCATCCCACCTCCAGCACGTCATCCCACCTCCAGCATGTCATCCCACCTCCAGCATGCCATCCCACCTCCAGCATGCCATCCCACCTCCAGCATGCCATCCCACCTCCAGCATGCCATCCCACCTCCAGCATGCCATCCCACCTCCAGCATGCCATCCCACCTCCAGCATGCCATCCCACCTCCAGCATGCCATCCCACCTCCAGCATGTCATCCCACCTCCAGCATGCCATCCCACCTCCAGCATGCCATCCCACCTCCAGCATGCCATCCCACCTCCAGCATGCCATCCCACCTCCAGCATGCCATCCCACCTCCAGCATGCATCCCACCTCCAGCATGCATCCCACCTCCAGCATGCCATCCCACCTCCAGCATGCCATCCCACCTCCAGCATGCCATCCCACCTCCAGCATGTCATCCCACCTCCAGCATGTCATCCCACCTCCAGCATGTCATCCCACCTCCAGCATGTCATCCCACCTCCAGCATGTCATCCCACCTCCAGCATGTCATCCCACCTCCAGCATGTCATCCCACCTCCAGCATGTCATCCCACCTCCAGGATGTCATCCCACCTCCAGCATGCCATCCCACCTCCAGCATGTCATCCCACCTCCAGCATGCCATCCCACCTCCAGCATGCCATCCCACCTCCAGCATGCCATCCCACCTCCAGCATGCCATCCCACCTCCAGCATGTCATCCCACCTCCAGCATGCCATCCAGAGCGTCCTCCGGGTACTCGTTGGTGCCGCCGCTGCGCTGCACGGCCGCCATCATGCCCGCCAGCCCCACCTGCGCACGGGGGGCGGACGGGGGGGAAACAGAGACGCGCGCGACCGTGGCTTGTGCAAGCTTGGCGCTGCACGATGGACGGAGAGCTTGTGCGGGAGGAGAGCATGCGCATGAGCTGCTCAAGTAACGGTGGATGACGAGGCAGAGGGGGTGAGCGGCATGGTTGGGCTCACCTTGTTGGGCGCTTCATACTGCGCCCCGCCCTTCACCAACAGCTGCCCGCCCACCTGGCATGGCGGACACATGGGGGCGGCACAACAGTGATGGGGAGAGAGACGGTTTGTCATGTGCGACAAGGAGACACGGCAGGATGAAGGATAAGCGTGCATCAGCCTAAACCTGCCAGCCTATTAGAAGTCAAAAATCAGCTAAACTCAGCAGCCCTGTGCATGCGTCACCTGCCCCATGCAGCGCTCACTAGCCCCAGCTCAGCAGCCCCAGCTCAGCAGCCCCAGCTCAGCAGCCCCAGCTCACCAGCCCCAGCTCATGGTCTTCCAGCAGAAAGACTCGCAGGCCGTTGGGCAACACGAACTGGCATGGGGACGCGGGCAGGGGGGGGCGAGCACGTTGAGGGCAAGTGAGGGGACGAGTACAGTGTGAGGGGCGCGGTAGTGTGCGTGGCATGAGAGGGGCGCGGTAGTGTGCGTCGCATGAGAGGGGCGCGGTAGTGTGCGTCGCATGAGAGGAGGGAAACGAGGGGCAAGCAGGGAGGCATGTGGAATGGGGCACGCAGGCAGCAGCTCTGACCTCTTCGTACGGCGGCAGGGCGGGGTCCGGCAGGGGCGGGAAGGACGTGGGGATAGGCGGCAGATGGCGCGTGGACGCCCGCACGCTCACGCGGGCTGAGAGGGCGGGAGGGGGGCGAAGGGGGGAGTGAGAGGGATGAGCGCCGCAAGGGCGGGGCGCGCACCCAGGGGCCAGCGCGGGAGACTCGTTCGCGGTTTCGTGTGGAGGCGAGGCTGAGGCGGGGAGGGGAAGAGGAGGGCGGGCTGTTGCCGCCCCGCCTCCTACCACAGCATACACGCACCCTTGCTTCCCCTCCGCGGCATCAGGGGGAGCTCAGGCCTCCCCCACTGGGCGAGGCGGGCGCATCCATGCAGCCACGGCGCGCGGGCGGTAATCGGGCGGTGCCCCGCGTGCGTGGGGAGAGCAGCGCGGCGGCCGGCCAGGGCAGGCGAGGCGGGCGCTGCTGCCATCGCTGCCGCCGCGCGAGGGTGCGTGGCGAGAGGATGCGGACCGATCAGTAGGGGAGTGGACCGCGCTCGTGTAATTCACTCAGAGTCACGCGGACATTCCGCGCTGGATGCAGGTCGCGGGGCGTACTAGCAATCTCCGCAATGGGCGTCAGCTGTTGGGCTTTGTGTGCTGGCGGCTTCTCTGCTGCCACCCTTCTAAAGGACATTGACGGGCGCGATATAAGCTGATCTGGTTCGGCTTGGAGCAAAAATCATTTACTTATACAAAATAGGCCCAATGGAATGACATGAGCATAAGGGGGCTAGACAAGAGAGCCCACATACATACAAGGAGCATCATACAGTATCACATATGTGCCAGAGAACCGTCCAGAGATGGCAAGTCCTCGAGTGAGCAACGACTCCTGTCATTGCACAGCTCTCTTCTGTGGCGATCTACTGAGGGCGGCCCACGTGGTTTCCTGCACGACCTGGCGCATGTCCTCCCAGTCCGTGTTGGCCAGCGCGTAGTACCGGTTGTCGCGCACGCCGATGCAGTTGAAGTGCGCCATGCGCCAGCACGTCCCGTTCTGCCATCACCACCCGCAAGGGGGAGCAGAAGCAGTGGAGAGCTGTGTTGTGGGGGCGAAGAAAGCTTGCGCAACGCCAGAGCCATGGAGCAGCAAGGGCAGGGGTGTTGGAAGCAGCACAATCACGACGCCACTACCCAGTGCGTGACACAGTGGCACACAGCGGCGCTCACCTGGTGCTTGCAGCACTCACCTGGTCCCAGCCGCGCCCACCTGGTGCTGACCTGGTGCTTGCAGCACTCACCTGGTCCCAGCCGCGCCCACCTGGTGCTGACCTGGTCCTTGTCGCGCGCGTTGAGGCCGAGGAAGCGCGGCTTGGAGCAGCCGGAGACGTTCCAGATCTTGGGCAGCGTGCGGCACTTGTCGGGGTTGTTCATGCACATCATCGTGAACACCCACTGGTCGCCCGGCCGGAACCCCCACACCTCCATCGCCTTCTGCTCGCCAAACGCCTCCATCACCAGCTGCCAGAAGAAAAGGGAGGGGTACAGGGGGGAGTGCGCCAGATGTTCTGTTCAGGCTTGAGCGGCAATAGGCTACAGCCTACACGCTGTCAGCACAGCAGCGGCGGGCGGAGCATGGCGTACCCGGGTGAGGTTCTGGCGCCTGAGGCGGTCGAGGTCCATGATGAGCTGGCAGCTGCAGAAGGGGTAGCGCGACCTGGGCCCGTAGGCGGTGGGGTGGTTGTCGCCCATGAAGAGTAGCAGGTCGGGGTCCGCGTCCATCTCGCGGAAGTACCCCCACAGCGCGCCCACGTCCTCCGCCGCCACCATGTCCACGTCCAGGTACATGGCGCGCCGCACGTTCCACAGGATCTCTGGCAGGAAGAGCTTGGCGAACCCCGCCTCGCCCGAGTGGTGCGTGATGTTGATGCCCAGCAGCTCCGCCTGGCAGCGACGCGAGGGGCCGGGGGTGGGGGGTGCGACGCTGAATGAGTCCATCCGAGTGGCTCGGGCAGGCTGCTGGCACTGGCAGTGAGGAGAATGATGCGGGAATCCTATGTGGCACAAAGGGGTAGCAGTGACGACTGGTGGGTGCTAGTCCGTGTGGTTGAGAGGCGCACTTGCCTTATGGCGAACCCAGCAGACGGGGATGGGGTGGATGGTGTAGCCCACGGGAGGGTCGTCCGCCACCTGCAAGCACAGACCACGCCCACCGCGCACCCACACGAGTCAAACGAGGCTCAAAACCACTGAAAATCCTACCACAGAGTGGAGCACCCACGGGCTGGAAGGCATGGCAGCAGCGGGCAGAGGCATGAGCGGGCGGCGCTGACCTTGTCGTCGTGGTCGGGATCATAGCTGATCTGGTCGACGAGCGCGTCGATGTCGTGGCGCACGAGGTTGGGCGAGACAGGCCCCACGGCGTCGAAGGGCACGGCGCCCAGCTGCTCCATCATGTCGGAGATGCCCCACTCCTCCGCCTCGCCCGACACCATAAAGTGGAAGAACAGCCGGCACTGCGTCGACATCAGAATCGACTTCACGATCACCTCCGTCTCGTCCCGCGTGAACGGCTCGCGGTCCCATTGCGCGCTCACCAGCACGATGTGAATGCGCTCGTTCACCGTGCAGTTGCTGACCGGCCGCGGGAGGGAACACGGACCTGACGGCCGAAACCCAATGATACGGACTACGCGCTCAGTGTCTGCGAATTCCTCGCTGCCTAATATCCACGCGACGGTGGGAATGAGAAATATTCGGACGAAATGGACGATCGCGAAGGTGACAAGGAGTACGCGGAAGGCGCCGCCAGGCTGATTGAATGCTTGGTTGAAGGCCTTCATGACTAAAGCTCACGAATAAGAAATAAGTAGAGGTAGGTGAATTTGAAATACAATTTTGTCCAAATAATTTTAAACCTCTCCACGTAACATCCGTTGTCGTCCAGCCTGGTTAGGATACCTGGCTTTCACCCAGGCGACCCGGGTTCAAATCCCGGCAACGGAGGTTCTTTTGCCCTTAGTAATTAGTTTTCCTGAAAAGTGAAATGCCATTTGGCGGAGCGAGACGTTTTACGAGCAGGCTTCCCAACAAAAACGAACGTCTTCTACGGGGAACAAAGAGGTTGTCAGCTGACCTCGATATTGTCTCGGCGGGAATATCGAGGCGTCCCTGTGTGTGGCCCTCCTCTCCAGTGCGACCTGTCAGTCTGTGCCAAAGCCGACAGATGGATGGGCAAGGGAAAGCCGAAAGCCAACCACGCAAGAACCTGAACATCCTCAGATTCCGTTTGCTGCCATGAACTTCCACGGTTTCCACTTCCATGGCCATGTTGCCATTCAGGAAAATCCAAACTAGCTCTAGACTTCGCTAACCTACTTTTGGCCATGGTGTCGTCGGGCGGAAAGCACCTGGCTCAGGCCAGGCGGACCTCCCTGATGAGGATTAGGATAGGAGGGCTCTCTTTATGCAGGAATGCGGTTGTAATTTCCGTTGTCGCGCTTGCTAGTGCGTTCGTCTTCTTCGGCTATCGCCTGTCTAGTCCGTTGACGGCACCCGCTTCTTCCACGCTGAGTAAGGATCGGTTAACTGTCTCGGCTGCATTTTGTGACGAACGCATCTCACCCAGACGACAATTGCCTGTGCAGGTCGCGACAAGTCAGTAGCAACCACAGTAGACCAGGTATACATGCATATTTCTCTCTTAACCGACAATTTCCTACTTCTTCTGTCAGGACTTACCGTTCGAGCTTCCATTCCTCCAGGTTATATCTTCTGAGACGAAGAGTCTAGCAGCGCTGGAGCAGATAGAGTCGCTTTTCCCGAAGGAGGTACGGCTGTCAGTGGAGGAGTGAGCATCCGCTTTTATTACGATCGGATTGCTAACTCCATACCCTCGGTTTACTCGTAGGTACTGGATGTCGTAAACACGAATGCGGCCGATTCGTCCCTCCCTGACTTGCGGTCGCTGTCGGTGGAGGAACCTTCATCGATTGCTCTGGAGCGAATTAAAGAGAGGCGACGGAAGGCGCAGTCCGTGAGTATACTGGTCTTCCCGCTACTTGGACCTTCTGTTCATGAGGACACAGATGTCACTCACTTCTCGGTCTTCAGGTTCCCTCGGAGGATCCACTTGCCACTTTGGGAGCTTCGACGGCTGATCACGCCAGTCTGCTGGCTAAAGCTGCTGCAGAAGGTAAGCCTGTCAGCGATTCTTTTAAACGTGGCTTTTGTTTACCTATTCGCCTCATGCTGACGGTTTTTGCTTGGATGCAGGGGAGGACCCCGAGTCGTTGAGAGCGATGGAAGCCCTACTCAAGCCGGATCCCAATGATCCTGCGCGACGGATAAGACGAGTGCGTCGTCCCTTCCGAGCTTTATGCTGATCTCGTCTGGGCTTTTTGTGCTAACGTGTGGAAGCGTTTTTGCAGGAGAATCGAATTCGTCGGCGAGATAAAAGGCTTCACGAGCTGGTCGCACAGGAGTCGACAGAGGACGACGCAGTGGAGGCGGAGGAGAAGAAGAAGAAGGGGTCTGGCTCAGAACCCGCCGTTGCTCTGAACAAATACAGCATATGGCGTAGGGAGGACGAGAAGATAGGCGGAGACCAGATGGTTAGACTTATTCAAGATCAACTGATCATGGCTAGAGCGTACATGGCGATCGCCCAGCAGCACGGCGACTCGAAGCTTTCAAAGGAGCTGAAGAACAGGATGAAAGATAGCACCAAGTCGCTAGGCGAAGCAACGACAGACGCAGAGCTAGCTTCCAAGTATGTCGTTGTCGTCCCCTTCCACGAAGTTTGCAGCTCCTTTTGCAGTCCGCCTCCCGTTTTTCTGAGTCGATGAAAGCATTAAATCGCTCGCTTACTCGCTTCTGCAGTGCGGTGGAGAAGATGCGGGCGATGGGACAGCTGCTCGCCAGAGCGAGGGATCAGCACTACGACTGCACGGGAATGGTGAAGAAGCTTCGCGCCATGGTGCACTCTGCGGAAGAGCAGGTGACTCGCGATCTTGTCAATGGCTGGATGGCCATCTCTGCACACATTTAACTTCGTATGGCCGACCTGAATCCTTCCTCTTGTGCCTTTTCAGAATCAAGCTTTGAGGCAGCAAAGCCTTTTCCTAAGTCAGCTCGCAGCAAAGACCATTCCGAAGGGAATCTTCTGCCTCTCCATGCGGCTGACTATCGAATATAGCAACCTCTCTCCAGAGGAGCGGGAGTTTACAGGAAAGGAAAAGCTGGAGGACAACGACTATCATCACTATGCGCTCTTCTCTGACAACGTGCTTGCAACAGCCGTGGTCGTGAATTCAACTGTTGTCAACGCCAATGTACGTCTATTCTCAGTGGCCGGTTCCGCACATGCTGGCAGTGATATCTGGCTTCTAAAACCGCTTCCCCGTCCCGTCCTGTGTTCAGGATTCCTCGAGACACGTCTTTCACATAGTGACTGACAAGCTGAACATAGCGGCCATGAAGGTGAGCCCAACACTGGATGCTATTGACTAACCAGTAGTTTTTGGGAGAGACATCTAACATTCGAGTTCCATCTGCAGGCTTGGTTTCTTTTCAACCCTCCAAAGGATGCAACCATTGAGGTTCAAAGCGTTGATAGTTTCACCTGGCTAAACTCGTCCTACTGCCCGGTTCTGAGGCAGTTGGAGTCTGCATCAATGAAGGTACAGGAGCGGCTGCAGAATGTTGTGGGTCTGATAGGCCATTGCAGACCTGGCATGCCTAAGCACTTGAAAATTGGTTTCGCAGGACTACTATTTCAAGACAGGACAACAGACAGAAACAGCGGGAGGCGCAACAGCAAACCTCAAGTATCGCAATCCCAAGTACCTTTCAATGTTGAATCACCTCCGGTTCTACCTGCCCGAGGTGTTCCCCAAGCTTGACAAGGTTCTGTTCTTGGATGACGACATTGTGGTTCAAAAGGATCTCACACCGTTGTGGGAGGTAAGCTTTCTGGGCTGTTTTATACAAATCTGGCCCTCACGAATCTCTGTCAATGGCTCACCACTCTCATTGCGTTTCGCAGATTGACCTGCATGGGAATGTGAATGGTGCAGTGGAGACATGTGGGGCCAGTTTCCACAGGTTTGACAAATACCTCAACTTCTCCAATCCACTGATCGCCTCGAATTTCGATCCACAGGTACCATTTGTCCCTTCGGAGTTGGCTTAGGGGATGTGCCGCGATGCAATGGTACTGAGCACCGAGATTTCTCTAATCATATCTGGCTTCCTGCAGGCTTGTGGCTGGGCGTACGGGATGAACGTCTTTGACCTGAAGCAGTGGAAAGTTCAAGATATCACTGGAATTTACCACAGATGGCAAACACAGGTAGGCCAAACAAGCCTCCATTACCTAAGTTCCCCTGTTCTTCTCTCTTGCCAAGTTACTGTGCGTGAGGCCTCTATTCCTAAGGGATTGAAACCTGCTAAAGGTCAAGACTGTTAGCTGCATACTGACCGAATCTCTGTACCTGCAATTTGTGTTTCAGAATGAGGATCGCACCTTATGGAAGCTTGGCACTCTACCACCCGGGCTGATCACATTCTACAACAAGACTCAGCCGATTGACAAGAGCTGGCATGCCCTTGGACTTGGCTACAATCCAAATCTTGACATGGACGAGCTCAACAGGTAAGCCATACCGCCCAGCTGCATTGATACTCCTTCACCCAGTTGCTTGCTAACTTTGATTCCCTTTGTCATCATGCAGTGCCGCCGTGGTCCATTATAATGGCAACATGAAGCCGTGGCTTGAAATTTCAATGACCAAGTTCAAACGTTACTGGACGAAATATGTGAAGATTGACCACCCATTCATGCAGCAGTGCAATGTGAGCCCATAGCATGGCTGCTAGCTAGTTAGTCATGATAACCATCCATAACATGTCAACTCTTGTAGGTATTGTATATGCCTCCAAGATCACTGGCACTGCTTATTGTAGGCAAAGACTACCGCACACAAAATTTGCCAAGAAAGGAAGCCTCCAAAGGAAGAGGTGAGCTAACTCCTGCTACCTTTCAAAAGTACTGAGTGAGTTCCTCACCACTGAGCTCCTCCAATTTCTTCACCAGGCTTTTTGCACCCTCAGCCACTGCAGGGTCTGGGTCTTCCAGCAGCTCTGCCAAGAATGGAATGGACTCCGGCAGGAGCACAACGTACTCTTCGCGCACGCGATCCACGATCTCATTGATCACGCGCAGAGACAACTGACGAGACCGCACTCGCTCACTCCGTGTGCACATCAACACCTGTCACACAGCAAACCAGTCAGGTGTTCAGGCTAACACTTGAGAGGTGATCAGGCAGTCAAAGCAAGCTGCACCCAGCTTCTACAGAACAATACCTGGTGGTTGAGCTGCTTCCAGAGGATATCAGACCCCCCTGCAATCGTCATTTCACCCAAACACGTCACGAGCTCATCATCCACGTCGCTGATGCTTGGGATGGAGGCTGCAATGTAGGGATCCAGCTTCATGTGCGTCTCTGAAGGCCGAGAAGCAGCGATGGGAACCTCTGAAGCAGACAATGCAGAAACGATCGAAGCCACACCAGCTGGAGGTTCTCTGTCGATTTGAGATGTGAGGGGCTCCAGGAGGGCCTGAACACATCAGAAGAAGAACAGAGATGAGAAAAATCGACAGCAAGTACACCCTTGACTTTGTTATCATGTGTCGTGAGCTATGCAGGAAGGCTGCATACCTGGAACCTTGTGGCATCCAAGAAGGCAGCGTTGGAGTCATAGGTGAAGCACTTGTGGAGGGCACACATCACCAGGTACCTCAGCTGCCACTGTGCAATGCTGTCCTCCGCTGCTGCTGCCACACCTGCTGACTTGCGCCTCTTCTTTTTCATTCCCCCCTTGGCAGCATCACTGGGGCCAACAAGGTGGCGGATGGCAATGTCAAAGAGGTACTGGAAGTACGGCACGAATACCGACCTGAGTGGAGGGGGGTGCAGGGAACACACAGCTATGCTCGTGAAGCAGAGCAAGGCAGCACTGGTAACGATAAAAATTCTGGTGCTAATACAGCAGCCGATTCTTAATCCCAGTGTCAGCAGCAGCGGCATCAGCATCAGCATCAGCATCAGCATCAGCATCAGCATCAGTACCTGAGCTTGTCAGAGAGCACGTTGACAAGGCCGAAGAGAGTGAGGTGTCGCTCCACTCGTCCTGCTGGAGAGATGGGATCGCCGTCAGCAGCATACTCACTTGCCGCCCACTCCAGCACGCGCACAAACATCGGCTTGAACACACTCTCACTAGTCTTCATCACCACCCCCACCATCGCGCCCACCGCTGCTCCTTCCACATCAGGAGCAGTCACCAAGTGTGTGCCTCCTGGCAGTCTTTGATTGGAGGAGCTATTGGTGGAGGCCGGGAAGGGAGGGGCGCGGCGAACATCGAAGGTGCGAAGGAGGAGGAAGTCGAAGATGCGAGCGTGGAAGGTGGAGGCGGCAGCGCGGTCCATGTGGGAGGCGGCGCGAGCCAGCATGTGCAGCAGAGCAGCGGAAGGGGCAGGGCCTGCAGCTGTGGCTGTTGGCCAGGAGGAGACCAGCGGATCCAGAAGTAAACGCATCTGGGGGAGCGGAATGGGGAGGACAATTCACGCTGAAAGTCAGCCTCAGAGAGCACAATATTTCACACGTTCAGCGTCCAGGGGACGCTGGAAGCCGAAATTGCACATTACTGAAGTGAACTAAGGTACATTGAACAGATGAAAGGCAACGAAGAGGCAGCTGACATGGCAGATGGGTGGTTGGAGATCCCAGGGGCTTACAGGAAGCTTCTCAATGAGCAGTAGTCGCACAGCATGGGCATGCTGCAGCACAGAGGGCGAGGAGCAGCAGAGCAGCAAGGGAGTGAGACAGGTACAGGCGAGGATGCGGGGAGTAAAGGGAGATAGGAGGGGGCCCATGGCCGCCAGCATGGCTTCCAGGGCTTGCAGCACAGCGGCCAGCAGGTCCTGTGCCGTTGCCTCACTCACCACCTCCTCTCTCCCATGCCCCCCACTGTCCTCCTCCTCCATCTGCTCCACCCTCATCTCCCCATCCCCCTCATCTGCTCCCCTCTCCTCTTCCACCACCTTCTTTCCTGCCGCAAGCGCCCTCTCAACAGAGGCGAATAGAGGGGGCATGAGGAGCGGCAGGTGGGGCAGCAGCAGATGGTGCAGGGAGGAGGCGAGGGAGGAGAGGCAACGTAAAGCAGCGGCAGTGAGGAGTGGCGAGGAGGAAGAAGAGGAGACGATGCGAATGAGAGGGGTGAGCGCTGGGGAGAAGTCGTCAGAAGCCAAGGATGCAAAGCGCTTGATGATGGCATCGAGTGTCTGGGGGAAAGAGTAAGTTGGGGGAACGAAAGGGGAGGGCCAGGGAGGGGGGTTGGATGAGAAACGAAATAAGAAAGTACGAAGTAGAATAGTGATTCAAAATGAAGCAGGAGCGAAGGAGCTGCACTGATTCAACACGCAGCAGCTTATCCCTCTCTGCCCCTCCTCGACGCTGCTAACCTGCAGAGCTGCCATCTGTGTGGCCAGCGACCTGTCAGGCCCCTCCAGCGCGCCCATGTGCGCCAGCTGCCCTGCCACCAACGCATACTCCACCGCTTCCTCCCGTGCTGCCTGTGCCAAGCGCTGCTTGCTCCCAGCTTTGACGCGGCCGTGCGGCGTGAGGGTGTGGGGCACGGATGACCGCACTCTGGAGGCAAGCAGGCGGAGAACCTGGAGAGGAGAAGGGAGAGGAAATGGGGGTGTTGAAATGCCTAAGAACTGCATGGTGAGAGGAGATGTGGTACACAGTGTTAGTAGTACCTTGCGACGGATATGGCTGCTTGGGTTGGTCAGCAGTGTCTGCACGGCCTGTAGGAACACACCACTGGGAGTCACGTCATCCAGAGTCTGCAGCAGCTCATACGCTGCTGAAGCCACCAAGTCCGCCCTGTCCTTGAGCACAGGGCAGAGTGGGGTGGCGAGGGAGGAGGCCACAGCAGCACTGGAAGCAGCAGCAGCAGCAGCTGCAGTGGCACGGAGGCGAAGGACAACATGTTCCAAGAGAGACACAAACAGCTGTCGCTCAAGGCTGTTGGGGGCTGAGCCACCATCAACCATAGCAGCATCTCCCCCATCGTTGCGCCCTTCCCCCTCAACCCCTCCTGCAAGTGTCCCTCCCTCCATCCCCAAATCCTCCTCCATAGCCGCCACTGCAGCCGGCAGCTCCGCAGCAACAAATCTCACCACTACCACATCGTCGTCTGGACCCATCCCTCTCCACCAATCAGACGCCTCATCTCCTCCTGCCCTCCCCTTCCGCCGCACGTTGGTTGGAGGGCACGTGGCTTCCAAAAGCTTCACATATGCCTCCAGTCGGATGCTTCCTGGAACCTGCAAACAGAGCTCAAACGCCAGGCTGAGCCCCCACTCCCCTTGCCCCTGATCGTCCGTGCTGTCCCCCCGCCGCCTCCAGTACGTGTGCTGCTGCAACGCTGCCTGCCTGCGTGCCCGGGCAGAACGAGGGGCGTCTTTGGGATTGTCGGCGTGCGCTGTGAGAAGCGAGGGTGTGACGCCTGTGGTGGTGAGCAGCAGCAGCAGAAGCGGAGCGAGGCCCAAGGAGGGAGAGACGCCTCTGTGGTGGCAATTGGGGATGCAAGCGGGGTGGGTTGAAAAGAGCACGCAGAGCATCGATACAGGACAGAAGCATCGCGGAAAGACTTGAAATGGGACTACGCAATAACCATGCAACCGGAAGAATTCAGGGAGGCAGAATCGGAGAGGAGATGCACAGACAGATGGGAAAGAGGTGGAACCTCTTAGAGGTGGGAGTTGGTACCTTAGAAGAGCAGAGAGGAGGGCGATGCGATGGTGATGAGGCATGGAGGGCAGGGATGACACGACCAGCTGATACCGGCATGGAGAGGGTGGGGCAGGGAGCAAAGAGGGAGGAATGGGATGTTTCAGAAAAGGCTCAAGCTGGCGGAGGTGACGACACGGACTGAAGTGGCTCTAAATGGTCGAGGCATGAATGTACAGCAACAGGAAGTGGTGATACATGCGACTGATACTGGATTGGAAGCAGAGGGCGGCATCCACATTCACCTGAAGAAGGGGAGTGACATCTGGGTTGTGGTGCAGCCATGCAGGAAGCACTGCCTCCACGAGTCGATGGATGGCGTCATGCGACTCCCGGATGTCCTACAAGGGAGGCGAAACACCGGGCCAAGAGTGGACACACAGAAGCTCACATTCAGGCACCGGAGCACATGTACAGCGAAATCGCCCAGGGGGAAGCGGTGTGTTATGCAAAGGGGAGACAAAGGCAGCAAGACCTGAAACCTAGTACAAGTGCTGCAGGGAACGATGCTGAGAGAAGCACAGGAAGGGTGAGGGTGCAGGGGAGGCACGGACGAGGGCGAGGGTGGTCGTAGCAGCAACAGAGAGCACAGCTACCACATGCTCCACCACCTCCTCTGGCTGCCTCTCTGCAGCAGCTGCCAGCACGGCTATGGCTGCACTCGCAGTCGCAGGGTCCCTCCGCCCCTTCACCACCTCCACTGCCGCCCCCACCATGTGCACTACACACTCCTCCTCCCCATGCTCCATGCCCCCTTCTTCCTCCTCCTCCTCGTCACTTTCCATTGCCTCATCCTGCCCTTCCGGCACGCCTGTATGTGAGGAGAGGGCGTTGCGTGCCACTGTCAGCACCAACTGCAGCACAAACTCAACTGCTCCCAGCACCTGAGCGCTCATTGCAACCTCCCCCTCTCCCTCCTCTGCATGCTGCCCTCCCACCTCCTCGCCCCCCCCATCTGCCAGCAGCAGCGGCCAGCGGTGGGAGAGAATGGCGTTGATGGCTGCAGCCAGCGATGGAAATAGCTGGATGCTGGGGGAACAGACATGGCGCAATGCGTATGGGGCAGGCGGGAGACAAAAACAGAGAAGCGTTGGAATGGAGAGATGGAGGCCATAACCTCCACTGAGAAGCTACTCATCTACTGTGCCGTGACCTCATCACCTCACACCTGCTGTGCTGATCAACTCATATTTGCTATATGACGTCATCAACTCACATCTGCTGTGCTGTGAGGTCATCCTTCCACATTAGCATCTCCAGCAAACCCGTAGCAACTGCCACGCGGCGTTCCATCGACAGCCAATCAGAAGGTGGCACATAGGCAGCCATGTCTGGTTTGTTGGAGCTGGGAGCATGAGGTGCGTCGTGAGACACTGGCGGTGGCGAGAAGAGGACCGTGATGAGGCGAGCGAGGGTGGATGGCCTCAGCTGAGAGAGGAAGAAAGGGGAAGGGGGGGGGATGGGGAAGGGGCCCGCTTTTGTGTGAGTTCTGACGAAGTGGCAGGAATGAGAGAAGTTGGAAGGAGTGAATCCCATGGAGACGCATGGAAACATGAGCATTTGATAGAAACACCCCTTGGCACGTGGATGTCATGGGCATATACGTGTGCGATGAGTGCATATACACAAGTGCATGCCATGGTGCATCTCCCCTCGGCACCAGCACACCTTGAGGCACCGGAGGGCATCCTTGGCTGCCTGGCGGGCAGCAGGGGACGCCTCAGATGCGGCCATGAGGAAGAGCAGACTCGCCACCAGGCCATCCTGACGGGGGTGAGGTGAAGGAGGGGATTGCAGCAAGGCGCAGCAACGAAGGATGGCATGGAGCTGGTTCATGAGGTTGCTCATGACACAAAACAAAAAGAGTATAATAGATTGACAAACGGGCAGCCCAACATACCCGGTGGTTGCATGGCAGCGCCTTCAGCAAGTCGTTCGTGACCAGACCTGCTGCCGTGATACATGGGGCCTCCACAGCCACAGCATCCGCTGATTTGGCACCCTGAACCTGGCGGTGGGGAGAGCGGAAGCAACGGGAAGTAGGTAGGCACATCAGAAGCATGTGCATCTGGTTCCGTACATCCACACTGCCACCCTGCATTGCCAATTCGCACACCCTGCATCACCATACCTGCTATACCGTACCTACATGACCACACCTTCCCAATCACCATACCTGGCTGCACAACCACCCCACCATCATCACCATAGCTGTTATACTCTACCTGCATAGCCATGAGTAGGAGTGGTGCAACGTCAAGAGCAGTAACTCCTTTCCCTTCTGTTTGCTGCATCTTCAATGCCTGCCGCTGCTCCCCCTCCTCACCACCCGCACTTTGCTCATCGTCCTCTCCCTCCTCCTTCATCTCCTCGTCTACACGTGCATCCGCCTGAGCCCCCTCCTTCGCACCACCTGAAACTGCCCCTGCCACGACCTGCAAGGGTGCAGAGGGAGAGACACAACTCGACGGTGGGGAGGTTGAAGCCTATCAAGTTACAATGCAGCAGCTCCATGGAGGCAACAGCCAAGAGGCCAGGGGGAGCAGCAAAGATGCAGGAACACCTACGTGCATGGAAACCTTGTACATGCTATGCTAGGCACGAGAACCCAGGTCAGGCCCGTTACATGTGCAGCCATACCTCCATGCCTACAATCAGCAGCTGCACATCCTCCAACTCCAGACTGCCACCTGGCAATGCCGCTGCTTCCACTGATGGTGGCTGGGATGGCTGTGAGAGACCAGCAGCGCCTTCTGATTGGTGCAGATGGCAGCGGAGGCGGCGGGAGAGCATGGAGTGCAGGCGAGGAAGCAGTAGGGCGAGGGGACGGAGAGAAGTGGCAGCTGGGACTGATGCGAGCATGTGGAGAGCGAGGGCCTGAAACACGTGAGTTGAGGGGACAACAGAAAGGCCAGTTATGTAGTGTGTGGGAAGATTGGGTGGCGCGGACGGGGAGGGGTCTGAGAGGAAGGGAGAATGGACATACACACAGACACGCACACACCGGCCCCAACACGTGCCTGTGATGGTTAGCGTGTTGTGTCCAAGAGGAAGAGTGTGATACCTGAGGCCATGATGGAAGGCTGATGGCAGCATTGAAGAGCGCTGTGAGCAGGGCAGTACGGTCGGAGGGATTCAAGCTGGCATGGCAGACAGACATGAGGGGTTGGAGGCGGGAGACAAAAGGTTGAAGCTAATTAACTCTGGTGTTGCTGCCACACGGTCCAGGGGAAGCAGCGTGCAACACGGCACAAAAGCAGATGACACGGCACGGCACAATACAACAGCCACGGGAAGCATAAGCAGGCGGCAAATCCTTCACCTGGAACCAGTAGAGGCAGCATACGAGGGGTCCAGCAAGCGAACCAACAGAGCAGCGGCTTGAGAAGTTCTGAGAGGGCTAGAGGATGTGGCAGGTGTGGAGGTGGGCAGGCGGAGGGCAGTGGTGGAGGAGGAGGAGAGGGCAGGCAGCGAGGAGAGGTCTGCGAGTAGAGCATCCTTGGCAGTTGAGAAAGCGGAGGCAAGGAGAGAGAGCGAGGAAGGAGAGGGCAGGCTGGGAGAAGAGTTGGGGAGAGTGGCAGCCGCCTGTGTGAGGGACGCGAAGGCGTGCAGAGCTGCTTTGCGGACAGGCTGGAATGCACACGAAAGAAGCAGGGATTGGAAATGGTGATGCAGACGGGTCAGCAATGCCATAATTCGTTAAAAAGGGTGATAAATGTGAGCAAAATCGAAGATGACAATTGTCGGATTTAAGTGGAAAGCAGCAAGAGCAAACGAAGGGAGAGCCCAGCTGCAGCTTCAGTCTCACCTTGTGAGGGCTTTGCACTGTCACCATGAGACGCAAGAGCACTCCCACCAGCACACGTGTCAGCACCTCATTGGCCTTGGCATCCCCTGGCGCTGCTGTAGCCGGAGCGATAACAGCGGGGAGGAGGGCGAGTGCTGCTAGTTGAAGGGTGGGTGAGTGAGACGAGGACGACGGGAGGGGGAGGAGGAAGGGGTCCAGAAAGGCAAGGAGGGAAGAGCGAGTGGCAGATTGTGCCAACAGCAGCTGCAGCAGAGCAGCTATTCCTCGCTGCCCCTTGCTTCCCTCCTCCCGTCCTGCTACCTCCCCTGCATTTGAGCCCATGTCCCTCAATGACTGCAACATGGCACCGTGGATCTCGCCTCCGCCACTTCCCACGCCTTCATTCTTCCCTCCCTGCCTCTTCTTCCCCCCCCTCACTGCAGCAGCAATGCGTGCTGCTGCCAGAGCAGCTGCCTTGGGACCTCCTGCCCCCACCAACAGCTCAAACACACGCCCTGCCACATCACCCCGCTGCTGACGTGGTGCTAGCACACCATCACTTAGCTGAGTGGTTCCTGGAAGCTTCCTCAAGAGGGAGGAGACGCATGAGAGTGTGAGGTCGGCTGAGAGGCGGAGGGAGACTGCGGAGGAGGGGGGGAGTGACGAGAGCAGTGAGGACATCTTGGCACGCACATTGGGAGGCGCTGAGAATGTGGCCTGGGGCAGATGGGATAGGGTGAGCAAGGGGAATGACGTTCAGATAGTTGTTGCAGGCAAGAGAGTGCAAGCGGAGGTAATGAGGGGAAGTGAATGAAGCATTGGAACGGCTGAAACGCTCTAAGGCCTGTGGCATGGCATCACCTCAGGGAGGGAAGCGAGCAGTGCATCCAGGTGGTCAGAGGAAGCACCCTTTGTTCTCCTCTCCCCCTCCCCTTTACCCCCTTCCCCTGCCTGCGCCGCCACTCCCTTCCATGCGTCCTGCAACAGGCCCACTGCCTCCTCCACAAAATATCTGATTCTTTCTTCCTCCGCCTCTTTGAACTTCTTGCCTCCTGGCGCGTTAACACTGCCACGTGGCTGCAGCAGAACTTCCAGAGAGGTTGATGTCGCAGGGAGACTATGTGCTGCCCATAGGAGGGCCAGCAGCAGCAACTGCCGGCCAGCAGGAGAGGATGCAACCAAGGCAGAGCGGGTGAAGCGAATGGCAGCGAGCCACATGTCCTTGGCGACTGGTGCATTCGAGGAGACGGAAGGCGGTGCGATAGCAACAGCAAGGGAGGATGCAACGAGGGAGAAGGCGTCAGAGGCCGAGAAAGAGGGGGAGGAGACGGAGGCGAGTGAGGGGGCGGGGAGGTGGAGGAAGAGGGGGAAGCGAGGTGCGAGCTGCTGTGCCAAGAGAAGAGCCTCGTGCAGCAGTTGCGGGTTGGCCAGTGGAGTGGTGGGAGAGTCGGGCTGGACACGGGGGGTGGGAACGGCGGGAAGAAAGAAGAGTGATGGACGAAAGGGGTGTTGCCTTGCAAGGAGGAAAGCAGAGAGCATGGGTTGCAAGGCATGCAGGCAGAGAGCATGGGTTGCAAGGCATGCAGGCAGAGAGCATGGGTTGCAAGGCATGGGGGCAGCAGTTGTCACCTTAGAGGGCATGAGGGCGGACAGCAGCACATGCGGCATCACCTCCTCTGCCACTCCCTGCACCATCCCTCCCGCTTCCAGCTCGTCCTTCCGCTCGCCCCTCTGCCCCTCCCCCTGCTCGGGGTGTGGTTTGAGCAGTGGTCCCATGACAGCTGTGCGCAGGAGGCGAAGGGCGGCGGACTGGCATTCTGTGGATGGACACACGCGGGAGGACGGGGCACGTGCAGCCATGTGCAGCACATGGGGGCAGGCGGGAGCATGTGGAGGCATGTGGATAGGAGGGCAGTGGGTTAGAGTACATGGCCTACGGTAGACACGCTAGGGTAGTACCAGAGCAGCTGACAGAGGTATATGGGGAAGCAGACAAACGCAGCAGCTTGGAAAGCGATTCCCCACCAGGACTCACGTACCCTTGATGTGCGCTGGCAGCGGCTCGGAGGCAGGCGGCAGGGGGCGGAGGACGATGGCTTTGAGAGGGGCGAACAGGAGAGCGGGAGAAAGGACACATGGTAGCAGCGGAGACGTAACAGCAGCATGCTGCACTTCCCAGCTGTCATCAGCCAGTCGGCGGTGCAGTGCAGATGAGACAAACGCCTGCACCTGAAGGAGGGAGGGCAGTGCGAGGAAGGGTGGAGTGAAGGAGACGGAAGAGTTGGAGAGAACGAAAGGGAGAGCATCTGAAGAATGAATAGAGGGCGCATGTGAAGGTGGCGTGTGTCCTCAAGGCACTCCTTCACGACCACATGAACGATTTGCCCACCCCATCTCCTCACAACTCCCCCCAACACCCATCTCCCTCCCTTGTGGCCCCACCACCTACCTCGCCTTGAGCCACCTCGTCCCTGACTGCGTGCTTCCCTGCTGCGTCCATGAGCCCTGGCAGCTGCTGCACTGCTGCCTTCCGCACTTGCCACTGCCACGTGCACGCCGGGAGGGCACGGCCACATGGGATGGGCGAAGAAGAAGGTCATATCAGGAAAGACGTCTATGGGGTGGAATCACGAACGGGAGGAGATGGACAGAGAGACAGGGAGGAAGTGACTGCTTCATACGTCACCCACACATGGTCAACTGCACTCACTTGTGCATGATCTATTGCCAGGTGAACTGACAGCAGCTGTTGGTGCTGCTGCTGCCGGACCTTAGCCCCAACAGCTGCCCCTGTGGCAGCAGGAGAGGCGTCCACCCGTTGCAGCGCACATGGGCTGGCAGAGAGAGCTGTGCCCAGGAACGACACGAGCGTGGCACGCTGGGCGGGAGAAGACGCGAGCGACTGGGGGAGAGAGGGAGGAGGGGGGGGGGGGGGATGTGGAAGGAGAGGCGGTGAGAAGTAGAAGTGAAGGATAAGGGAAGGAAGGTAGAGGGGATGTCAGGAAGAGCGGCTGAGGGAAAGAGGGGATTCGAGGCAGAGGAGTGAACGAAGGAAAGGTCAAACGACGGAGAGGAGAAGCGAGGAGGTGAGAATAACTTCAGCGTCGAATCCAGCGACCACCAAGACGTGTGATACAGGCACCTCAAGACTGCAGCCTACCCCCGAGACTGCAGCGTACCCCCAAGACTGCAGCGTACCTCCAAGACTGCAGCAACAGCAGCATCAGTCTGCGAGGTGAACTTAAGGGATAGCGCCAGCAGGAGGGGCTGGATGCGAGGGCCTAGTTAAGGGAGTGCAGGGTGCAGAAAGGAAAGGCACGGCAGCTCACATGCGGAGCGAGTATGTGCGTGGTGAGGAGGGTAGAGTGGACATCGGAGTATGGTACGAGGCTATGCACAGAAGCCATAACAGAATGCAGCATGGCATGGCAGAATGTGTACAGGAGGGCAAGAGGTGGATTTGAAGGGGCGTGACTGACTGAGGGAGGAGAGGGGCGGGGCCCCGTGCGGCAGGTCCTTGCCAACAGCGAAGCGCAGCAGAGAGAGCGAGAGACGCGGCACGAGAGGCGAGAGTGCTGGGCGTGGCAGCTGGCGCACAATGGCCAGCAGCAGATCCGCTGCGGGCTGGGATGACGAGCTGCCACGATTGGTGGGCCAGCAGGAGGGGGAGGGGAAACGATGGGAGAAACGAAGGAGAAGGTGAGGAAAGACATGGTGAAGTTGGCTCGGTGAAAGGACCGATCCGACAGCATGACTGCTATTTCCCGAAACAACACCACCGCCATCACTACCACCAGCAGCACCAGCAGCAGCACCAGCAGCAGCACCAGCAGCAGCACCACCAGCAGCACCAGCAGCAGCACCAGCAGCAGCACCAGCAGCACCAGCAGCAGAACCACCAGCAGCAGCACCAGCAGCAGCACCAGCAGCAGCAACAGCAGCAGCATAGCATGAGTGTGGAGCATACATCTTGGGCAGCAGCGCGTCGACGAGGAGGAGGAGTATCTTGGCCGTGTTGAACTTGTCTGCTGCCGCCCTCAGCACGTCAATGAAGTGCCTGCAGCCGGCCAATGAAGGGTGGCGAGACAGAGGGCGCGGGAATGGCTCATCGGAAGGATGAACGAAGCTAGACCCGGGGCACAAAGCGGCACCGGGGGAGATACAGGGGCGGGGGGCACAGGGAATGGCAGAGGGTAGTGGCATAAGCGCAGACACAGGTGGGGTTACACGGGGGAGGGGGGGGGTGTGCACAGGTGGGGTGACACAGGAAAGGGGGGCACAGGGGGGGTGGCACAGAAGAGTACGCACAGAGCTGGGGCACGAAACCAACCAAACCCATCCCATCCCCAACCATCCGACCCCTGCCATTGTGACCCTTCATTCCACACATGCCATTCCGTGCACGCCATTCCGTGCATGGCATCTCATTCATGCCATGAATCGCACTTGTCAGAGAGAACGCTGCTGACAGCCCTGGCTGGAAGAGACAGAATTCGTTGCGTCTGCCAGAGGCACACAGAGATCGAGAGGAAGGCGCACAGAAAGAGCAGTCTGCACGTTAGGCCACAGGGACGAGGTTGCAAGCGGAAGCACAACTGATAGAGAGAAGTGATGCGCCGTGCTCAAAGGGGATTTGAGGGCGCCATGAGAAGAGGCGGAACAGGAGATGGAGCGCACCGCGGAGAGGTGGACGACAACGAGGAAGGCATCCATGGAGATGGCGGGGGGCGGCAGTCGGACGCCTTGGGCAGCGGTGGAGGCGGCAGGGGTGGGCGAGAGGAGGCCGATGAGGAGCGAGTTGATGACCTGCGAGGAGAGCTGGGAGCGGTTGGCCAGCTGCGACAGCAGCATCATGGCCGCGAGCTGGAGGGGCGGGTTGGAGAGCGGGCAGAGAGGGGGAGCAGAGCAGGGGACCCAGAGAGACGAGCAGTGGCTTGCTCAATTTGCTGGCACCCGCCTAGGCTGTCACGCAAGACAGGGTGAGCTGGCAAATGGTGCATGGCATGATGAAGGCGGTACACACAGCAGATGGCATGCTGAGGTGGCAGAGGCAGCAGTACCCTGTGCTCGTGCAGGGCGGAGGGCTGCAGGCCGTTGAGGATGAAGGGCAGCAGGTGTGTGAGCGCGTCCACTGACACGCGCATCACGGCCAGCGCCTCCAGCAGCAGCACGCTCGTGAACGTCAGCAGGCGCATGGCGGGCGGTGCAGGTGCAGTGGAGGAGGAGGCAGGCGACTCGTGACTGACAAAGGTGGCCGCCTTCTCAGCCTGGAACGGAGTGCGCACGGGCACCACGGAAATGGATGGCGACGGAAGTGCGGGTGAGAGAGTGGGTGACTAATCGAGTTAGGGGAAAACTGGTAGCCCCTCAGCTGGGACTGAGCAAGGCACATGCCCGGCTGGCAGGGACGGAGTCATACCGCATGGCACATGGGAGGGGCGGAGTCATACCGCATGGCACATGGGAGGGGCGGAGTCATACCGCATGGCACATGGGAGGGGCGGAGTCGTACCGCATGGCACATGGGAGGGGCGGAGTCATACCGCATGGCACATGGCGTGGAAGAAGGCGTCATCCTTCACGCATCTCTGCACCAGCTGCGCCCTTGGGATTGCCGCCCCATTGACCTTGCAGCCGTGCAGCACTGGCGCCCACTTGGAGTGCCTGATGTAACGTAAAGGGGGAGGAGGGGGGATGGGGGGGGAAGGGGGTGTTGTGGAGGTGCGGGGGGCAGCAACTGTTTCAGGCTGCTGCCTTATCCACGTGGGAGTACGAGGAGAACTGCACGGCGCCAAACAGGCAATCCTGCTAGTAGGGCATTCCGCGACGGCGCTAGCTGTCTGGTACTGGCCGAAGTAGCACTCCCTCACTCGACTCTTGGAGCATATCAGCAGCATCCTCACATGCGCCTTACTTGAGGGACACCAGCTGCGCTATGCGCACGAAGAGGTTGGTCTCGTGGTACGGCAGCGCGGCGAGCACCAGCGAGTCCACGTTGCACTGCTGCACCCTGCACGCAGCAGCACGCGCGGAAGAACGGGAGCAGGCGCGGAAAGGGGGACGGAGCGGAGGAAAGGCGGCGAGGAAGGAAAGGGGGGCAGCGGGAGCGAGGGGGTTATGAGGAGAGCATGAGGGAATGCATGAGGGAATGCATGAGGAGAGGCAAAGCTGCTAGCAGAGAGGGAAGCTGTGGGCATTTGGTAGCCACAACTGATTGGATTGGGCGGAGCGCACCTGTACTTGCGAATGAGGTATTCGAGCGCCTTGTGGCTGGCGGGCAGCAGCAGCGCGTCGGACAGCAGCATGAGGAACGCGTCGATCGACGCGTCCAGCGCCGCCACCACCGGCGGCGGCTCGTCGTCGCGATCCGTGTGCAGGCTGGCGGGCGAGAAGAGCGTGCTGAGGAACGGCTTGAAGCGCGCGTCCCCCGCCACCAGCTCCGCCAGACCTGCGCGCGGACCAGGTGAGACGCGTTGGGCGAAACGGGAGAAGTTTGAGAGGCGATAGAGAAGTAGGGGGAACGGAGCGAGGGGAAACGGTGTCCGTATAGAGCACGGGTATCGAGCGAGCGAGTAGTAAGGCGGGACAAGGAGAGAGGCCGCCATGGATGACGGCAGCTGCGAGCCAACCTGCTTGCGCCACGTGTAGAATAGTCTCCGCGTCCACGTCTGCGGCTTCCTTCGCCTCGAAAATAAGGGACGGCCTAATGTGCGCCCCCCGTTTGCCGCTCGACTTAGTTGCGACATCAGCAGCGGTGGGGCCCGTCGCGAGGGCGATTTGCCGCAGCTGCCGCGACAGCGCTGTTCCCGCCATGCTGGACGGCACGCTTCCGCACCGCGCGCACGATGCGGCTCTTGGAAATCTTAGAGATGCTCGATTAAGAATGAATGGGCTCTCGGCGTAGAACCTAGACTCTTGAGGAAAGCTGTCCCAAAGAAGAGTTGAGGTTTTGAAGGTTCTGGGGCTAGTGAGCTTGGGGAGTCACAGCGGGGGTTGTGACGGGATGCATATTTGTCGTGACTCGAGAGTCGTCAGTGCGTCTCGAAAGAACATGCGTGATAAAAATTGTGCGCTGCAGACACACGAGCACACAAGTTTACCAGCCAGTACCGAGTCACTCCTTGGCGAGGTGATCGGCACCAGCAGCAGGGGAAGGTTGGCTCCTCTCCACCCCTATTGGTCAGGCTCGCTGGTGGGGTCGACAGACACACAAGCAGCACCAGACCAGGCGAACCTTGGAGTTGGTTGAAGCAGAGCACGCAGTGAATGCACACAATTCAGGCATCCTGCATCCCAGTGCGCGCGCTGCCAGTCGCCTGGTTCCATCACCACATCGCATGGAGCGGTGCCGCATCTTGAGCGACTAGCCTGCACGCACTCGCCTCGCGGGTCGATCTCGCAATGAGAGAGAGATCCAAGCCACGCGATTCTGCGATCTCGAGTTGATTTCCCCTCAGGACGCTGCTTCCCGTCCTGGGTCGGCGCTCGTCCCTATTCTGCGAATTCCGCTAGTTTTGGTAATCGGAACGCGCCATCCCCCGTCGCTGCGGAGAGCCAGTCGCGTGGTGATGAATCCGATCTCGTAGCGGTGCCCTGTTCGCCATCCATGTCGACCAATGACAGCCAAGAGCTGCTCTCGCCTCGATTTACCGCTAGTGATGCCACCCACGGCGATTCGATCAGTGCCGCCTCGCCAAAGGCGGAATCGAGTCGGCTTATAGCGAATGGCGGGGACGTTATCGTGCCGGCAGATGAGCTGGAAGACGATTTTGCCGAGTCAGCGTCGGCGCTCGGTCGGCGCGAGTCGGCGTGGTGCGAGCCGTGGCTGTGGTCGGTGGCCAAGGTGCTGCTGCTCGTGCTGCTGTGGTACACCTTCAGCATGGCGCTCTCCCTGTAAGCCGCTCTCCCTGTAAGCCGCTCTCCCTGTAAGCCGCTCTCCCTGTAAGCCGCCCTCCCTGTAAGCCGCCCTCCCTGTAAGCCGCCCTCCCTGTAAGCCGCCCTCCCTGTAAGCCGCCCTCCCTGTAAGCCGCCCTCCCTGTAAACTGCCCCGCCCTGAGCTGTCACTCCCTGTCTGCACTACCGACGGTCTCCATGGACTTACCTCTCTCCCTATTCCAACCGCCTCCCCCTCTTTCTCTCCTTGTCCCAACTGCGTCCTTGCCCTCGACCGCATCCACACACTCCCTCCACGTCATGCAACTACCCATGGGCGCGGCGGCGGTGGCGTGGCGCGGCAGGTACAACAAGGTGCTGATCGGGGAGAAGCACGGGCGCTTCCCCGCGCCGCTGCTGATGACCACCTTCCACTTCCTGCTGCAGGGGGGCATCGCCACCATCCTGCTGCGCTGCTGCTGCCAGTCCTGGCTGCCCGCCACCCCCATATCCTGGCGAGACTACTTCCTGCGAGGTGTGACTTGTGGCATTTCATGTCAGTGCGTGCATGGCACATGTGACATCATGCGTACCGATGGGGACGTGATGCATGGCACATGGCATGCCATGGCATGCACGCCACACGTGCTTCAGCCACGCTGGCCTTCCCATCGCTATGATTTGTCCACATTCAAGCAACTGCCTGTGCTGCCGCCCTCTACCCCTGTCTGCGTGCCAACAGTGGTTCCCACTGCCGTGGCGACAGCGCTGGACATTGGCCTCTCCAACCTCTCTCTCGCTCTTATCACTCTCACGTTCTACACCATGGTGCTCCCTCTCTCCCCGCACACCATTTTACTCCCCCTTTCCCTTTCACATCGTCGTACTGCTCCGTAACTTCTTCCCCCCTCCACCATGCTGAATTCCACCTGCTGCATTTAATTAAGTATTCTATTGCACATACTACACATGCCTTCTATCTTCCGAATGACATACCCATACAGCAGTATGGCGTAACTCGACGCATTTCATGCACCACATTGTAACGCACTTCAGAGGAATGCTGACATCCATCATGGAACATGCCATGCATGCAACTGCTCCCCTTCACCTCTCCTCTAACTCGCGCCCCTGCCTCCCGCCTGTCCCAGTGCAAGTCCAGTGCGCCCGTCTTCCTCCTCCTCTTCGCATTCCTCTTCCGGTAAGCAGCCCCACCATGACCAGCACCTGTTGCCGTGACCAGCATCTGTTGCCGTGACCAGCATCTGTTGCCGTGATCACATCGTTTCCACGGTCCTCTTCGTCCCTCTCATGACCACTGCCCGTGTTTCCCCGTCACCATCACGAGCGCCAGTAGCAGGTTCGCCCCCCTCACCCATCGCACATCCCTGCCGTGACCCCCACGTCCTCCCCACGTCCTCCCCACGTCCCCCCCACGTCCCCCCCACGTCCCCCCCACGTCCCCCCCACGTCCCCCCTTTCCAAAGGCTGGAGTCTCCGAGCTTCAAGCTGCTGGGCATCATGCTCGTCATCTCCATTGGCGTGCTCTTCACAGGTGGGGGGGAGGTGGGGGGAGATTGTTTAGGTGATCTTTGAACTTTATTCCTTTCACATTTTCCTTCTGCTCTTTTCACATATTATCCCAAGTGCTCTTTCCCACTCTGCCTCGATTTCAAATCCCAAATCCGCGCTTTCCAACATTCCCTGCCTGCCTTCACCCCCCCCACCCCCCTCCCGTGGCAGTGGCGGGGGAGACGGAGTTTGAGCTGCTGGGCTTCATCCTCGTCATGGTGGCGGCATTCGTGTCGGGCCTCCGATGGGTGCTGCTGCAAGTGCTGCTGCAGGTGACTCTGGCCTGATGCACTTTCAGCTGCAATGTGGACGCAACTGCCTGTGTTAGCCACCACGACTTGCACATGCTTGTGATCACCCCTCGGACCCATAGGCCGTGCGTGGCATGATGTGGCCACACCATGTCTCATCAGCCCATACATCCCTCTGCACATGCCAGTGTGCAACAGCCCTTTCAACAACACTCTCCCCCCCCGTTGCTTCTCCTGTGCAACCCACGGTGTCCAACGTGCGCCGTCTTCGCTTCCCCACGACCATCTGCCACTGCTTTCACCGCTGCCAGGGGGACAAGCTTGGTGAGTGTCTCTTGCCATGCCCCTTGCTGGCCCGTGTCACATTGCTGTTAGCACCTCACTACTTCACAGTGTAGCGTGGTGCCTGCCTTTCTTCTTTTTTCCATTCCCATTCCACTCTCTTCTCTTTCTCCCGCATCTCTCACCAGGCCCCATCTCCTCACTCTCGTCCCCCGCAACCCCCCTGCGCCCCTCGCCCCTCTCAATGACAGGCTTGACCAACCCGCTGCTGACGCTGTCATATCTGGCGCCCGTGATGGCGCTGGTGTGCGCCATCTTCTCGCTGCTGCGCGAGCCCTGGTCCGCCCTCGCCGCCTCGCCCTACTTTGACACGTGGCCTCACGCCCTCTGGAGCTTCGCCATCATGCTTGTGGGGGGCGGCCTCGCCTTCTGCATGGTGCGTGTGTGTGGGTACCGCCCCCTCTCTCGCCATCTGCATGGTGTGCCTCTTGCTCGTCCACGCATGTCCGTGTGCCCCATCACATTCGCCCATGACGCCCAACGTCCATTCTCTCCGCTTCACGCCACCATCTCTTCTCCACAGCACCGACCCCTTTTGCCAACTAGCCCTCCCCACCCGCCGTTGGCTCCTGCCCCAGTTTCCACCGCCCCTTTCACCCCGTGCTCCCACGCCTTGCGGTGCTGCCCCCCCTGCGAGGCACGGCAGATCATGGCGGAGTTCCTGCTGGTGCTGGAGACCAGCGCCGTCACCTTCTCCGTGGCCGGCACCGTCAAGGAAGCCGTCACCATCCTGGTGAGCCAAGGAGGCCGTCACCATCCTGGTGAGTCAAGGAGGCCGTCGCCATCCTGGTCAGGGGGCGGGCAGGGGGCAGTCATTGTTGAGGGGGGAGAGGCAAGGGGCTGGCACGGGTGCATGTATGGATGCATGCAATGCCCCAGTGCGTGGGTGTATGCACGTGTTGGCGCATGGGGAGGGCATTGACAAAAACATGTTTTCGTGCCGTGCAGATGTGCGATACAAGTCCGTGCACCACTACAGTCCCCCCTCCCGATTTCTCTGTCGCTTCGTGCACGTGTCTTGACTTGTGCATCCATGGTCTATGCCTCTGCATCTGCGTGTACGCTGCGTGCAGGTGTCGCACGCGGTGTTTGGGGACCGCTTCACGCGCATCAACCTGGTGGGCATCCTCATCATCATGCTCGGCGTCTCCCTCTTCAACCTCTACAAGTGAGTGCGCTGCCATGCCACGCTCCACCTCCATGCACCACCATGCAGCCCCACGCGTCCCATCACAGAGCGCCTCACAGCTGGGCAGCATGGCGAGGATGGAATGAGGCAGGGGGGAAGTTGAGAGGTGCCCAGCGTGGCTCATGTGACTCCCTTGTGCCTGTGTGCCTTGGTGACTGCAACCACAAATGGCTTTTTGTTTGGGTCGAAATCCTTGAGTCCTTGTCTCTCTTGTGTGTGGCAGGATATCGCGCAACAAGGCACGGGAGTCGGATGGGCATCGGGTGCACACGCTCAGCGATGCGCCGCTCCCATCTCACCCCGGCATGCCGTCCGAGCACCTGCAGCTGCTGCACCACCCCTCCTCTCCCTCCTCACCCATCCCCCCCGCCCGCCCCCTCTCCCCCCGCGGCACCAGAGGAGACTCCACCCACGTGCTCCTGGCCACCAGCATGAGCCCACGCCCCCACGCCCACACTCGCCTCGCCTCCCCACGCGGCCCGGGTAGCCCAGCTCACGCAGCGGGCAGCGTAGCATCTGACAGGGCTGGCAGTGGCACTGACTCGAGTGCGGTGCCCCATGCAGGTGGCTCTGATGGCAGCACCGGTAGCCAGGGAACGGGGCTAACAACTTACGATGCCATTGAGATGGAAGAAATCACCAAAAAGGACGAGCCTGCAGAAGGCGGTGTGTAAATGCAAACAACCATTTGTGGAGGCGCCCTGTCACCTCCACTCTCTCCATATTCGCTGGTATATTTCTTCTCAGACAAATTGTGACAACTTCTGTGGCACTAACCATCTTCCCACAGAACAGAATCGGGGCCAACTCTACATGAAATCGCGTGCAGTTTGACCATCGACTCGTGGAGTGTTGTGGAAGAAACGCATGTTGCACAGCCCAGCTACTTGTAACGGAGGAGTCTACCCTACGCTAGCTTGTCTACATGCAGCGGCTAAGCGGGATTCTTGGAGCCCTCCAGCAGTTTGACGAGGTAAGCACCGCCCATATAGAGGCCGATGAGGGGGCCCGCCAGCAGGCACTGCGTGAGCGGGTCGGTGGAGGGCGTGAGCACGGCGGCGGCGGTGACGCCCCCCACCACCACGTAGCGCCAAATGCCCAGCATCTGGTCCGCGGTCACCAGCCCCAGCTGCCCCAGCAGCAGCTGAATCACCGGCACCTGGCTCGCGTGGCAGAGGGGCGCGTGGCGAGAGATGGGGGGGGGGGAAAGGAGGGGGAGGAGAGGGGGGAAACGGGGGGAGAAGTGAAGAGGGGAAGAGTGATGGTAGGAACGTGGCATTGATGGTGCAAAATGTGCGGAAGATGTGTGGATGTACGAGCGTGGGGAATGTGTGGATGTACGAGCGTGGGGAATGTGGATGTACGAGCGTGGGGAATGTGTGGATGTACGAGCGTGGGGAATGTGTGGATGTACGAGCGTGGGGAATGTGTGGATGTACGAGCGTGGGGAATGTGCGGATGTACGAGCGTGGGGAATGTGTGGATGTACGAGCGTGGGGAATGTGTGGATGTACGAGCGTGGGGAATGTGTGGATGTACGAGCGTGGGGAATGTGTGGATGTACGAGCGTGGGGAATGTGTGGATGTACGAGCGTGGGGAATGTGTGGATGTACGAGCGTGGGGAATGTGTGGATGTACGAGCGTGGGGAATGTGTGGATGTACGAGCGTGGGGAATGTGTGGATGTACGAGCGTGGGGAATGTGTGGATGTACGAGCGTGGGGAATGTGTGGATGTACGAATTGAGGGGATGCCCGGAAGGAGAGGCAGGGGGAGAGCGAGGGGCTTGCCTGGAAGGAGAGGGGGGGGCTTGCCTGGAAGGAGAGGCCCGTGGAGAACATGAGGAGCAGCACGAACTCGAAGTACTGGTCGATGGACCACAGCGACTCCACCACGCCCTCCGCGTACGAGATGAAGAAGTTGAGCGCCGCGGGCGTCAGCACGGTGTAGCTGAAGGCGATGCCCGAGTAGAACAGGATGGACGACCCAAACACTATGGGCGCCAGGAAGCGCCGCTCGCTGGCCGTGAGCCCGGGGATGACGAACGCGATGATCTCGTACAGAATGACCGGCCCGCCCAGCAGGAGCCCGCAATACCCCGCCACCTGCCAGCAGGACGGAGGGGTGGCAGCGCAGGGAGCAGGAGAGGTGGGGCAAGGCATATGGCGTACACGCCCCATGGCATGCGGCTTTTTTTTTGTTTTTGTTTTTGTTTTTTTGTTTTTTTTTTGGGCTTTTAGTGATCCCATGGCATGCGGCATGGCAACGCTCTACACGCACTGCATGCACCAGGGCTCAGCCTGCACCCTAAGTGTGGCTTACAGAGCTCACATTGTCCCTTGGGCGTGAGGTGCCAAAACGTGTACCTTGAGCATGGCGAACCAGCATTCACCTCGAGCGTGGCGAACCAGCATTCACCTCGAGCGTGGCGAATCAGCATTCACCTTGAGCGTGGTGAAGAAGTACTCCCCCGGGCTGAGCTGCAGGAAGCGCACGCCCTGCGCGTACACGGGGGCCTCGAGGAACACGACCAGGTCCTTGCTATAGAAGAAGCACAGCAGGATGGCGCCGCCCACGGCCCCCACGGACACGAGCACGCGCTCGCGCAGCTCCTCGAGGTGGTCCCAGATGCTCATGGGCACGTCGTCCGGCAGCTCGTCCTGGCTTGGGTTGAGCCACTTCTGGATGGGCGTGCGCTCCTCCTCGCCCATCTCCTGCAGCACCGCCGGACTCACCCCTGCCCGCCCACGGGTTGCAACGCGCGGGACACATGGAGCGGACAGGCGGGAGGAGCAGCACGTGGAGCAGATGGAGAGGAGAGGCGGGGGGAGCACGCGGAGCGGACATGTGAGAAGAGGGGGAGAGGAGGGGGCGAGGAGAGAGGGAACGCGTTTGCCCCAAGCGGTGGGTCGAACGGCTCTTCCTCGCGTCCCCCGCGCGGACCAACACCCGCCTGTACTCCCACGCACATCCCCCCCCCCTACGTCGCCCACCCGCACGTGCTTATGGAGGCCCACTCACAATTATCTGGCCGCCTCTCCACCTCCATGGGCGTCAACGCCGTCGACGACTCTCCCCCCGCCGCCCCTGCCCCCTCCGCCCCTGCCCCCTCCGCCCCTTCCCCCTTCGCCGCGCCAACGGCCCACCGCCCTCTCCGCGTATGCCGCGTGGGTGAGGCGGCTAGCGGCAGCGATGCTTGCCGCGATTCGCGCCACGACAGCGACTGCGCCTTGCTCGGTTGCAGACCTGGGGTCGCTGACGCCCCTCGCCATGCTCTCCCAACTCTTTGGCTTAGTCGCACAGGCGACCGTGCGACTGTGGCAAGCGACAGCTGAGATCGCGTCGCTAATCGGGCATCCATCGCCAGTCCTGACATCTCTGGCCCAGCGACCGAGTGGCGGACGCGGACTGCTAAGGCAGGCGGGAAACGCGGCGAAGAAAAGCGGAAAGGTGAGTGAGGAATGGGGGTCTTGGGAACATTGACGATAATGCACGGCATGATGGCGACGGGAGGGCAAGCGCGGGGACCAACGGAATTGCGCCAAGTAGATAGCATCGCGGAAAGGTCGAGGTGAAATCCGGAAAGTGACCTTGTACACCAAACCAAGATTACACTAAAAACGCCCACAAAAAAGCCTTATCAAAAGCTATCCATATGCTTCATTGGAATTTGGCCACCCGATCCTCAATGGTTCTTAAACGATTGCACAGTGCCCCCCACAGGGCTCAGAGGCCCTGATGCTCCTCCCTGCTGCTTCAAGTTGGGCGATGCGAGCTTCGCCATGCCTGCATGCGCTCCATGCATGCCATGTGGTGCGTGTGCTTGAGCACCAGTGTGGCCAGAGGGAACGGTGGAGGCAGGAGCTGCGGGAGCAGAGGGCGACGTGTGGGCTTCGCTGGCTGCCGTGGCTGCTGATCGCCGGACCTGGGAACCACGAGTGGGCACCGCGCAACGCCATAGTGCACAGACGGCAATGGAACCGGTATTGACCCTTATGTAGGGGGTAAGGCACTCAAGCCATGAGGTAACAGATGGAACCATGCGCAAGTGGTAACAGATGGAACCATGCGCACGTGGTAACAGCAGACTATGCAACAAGACGTGTAGCAGTCAGGCCAAAGCACCACGAGGCACTTACAGCTGCCAGGCGTTGGCGATGCACCTCTGTGACTGGCTGCACACAGGGCGGCAGGCAGGCAGGCAGGCGTGGGGGCAGGAAGACAGGAGTGGAAGAAGAGGAGTGAGGGATGGAAGCAAAAGGGCCATCCGGCAGTTCCTGGTCTCGCCTTGCCCTCATCAGCCGGACCGTATCCTGGCACAACACTTCACAAGCCATTAACACCACCCCTCCACGCGTGGCAAGCGATCCGCATCACACCTTCACGAGCAGCACGCAGCGGAGTGCTTACAGGGCGCTTGTAGACGCGGTAGTCATCCCCCGTGAAGCCAGGAATCCGCATGTGCCAGTTGCGCTCTGAGACGACACAAGGGCCGAGGGCAATGCACGGGAATGGGTGGTAGTGTGAAGGCAAAGGCAGTCAGGGATGAGACAGCAGCGCCTCTAGGCGCGGCAGAGAGAAGATTGAGAAGAAAGGTAGGTGCCGGCAGCGGAGATACTGACCGAGGTGCAGGAGATACTGACCGAGGTGCAGGAGATACTGACCGAGGTGCAGGAGATACTGACCGAGGTGCAGGAGATACTGACCGAGGTGCAGGAGAACGTCCTTCGCCTCCAGCACTTGCGACTTGCGATGCCGCGCCAGCTGGCAGCCAAACGCTGTCACCTGCATGCACACATGCATCCATGCACACATGCAATGCAGAAACACATGCTCCATGCAAACAAGCAATGCAAAAACATACATACATGCATGCATGGATGGTGGACGACTAACTGGATGCAGCTGCTGTAATTGCAGGGGCGGGTACGGATTGGATGAGGGGGTAGCGGTTGGAGGAGGGGATGGCAAGTGCAGGGGCGGGTACAGATTGGATGAAGTCATCGGCGATGTCGAGCAGCACCTCCTCCACCTCGGGGTCCAGCTGCATGCGCGGGTCCACCTGCCACCCATGCCATGCCACGTGCCACATGCCATTCACCACGCCAGCCATGTGGCACATGCCATGTTGCATGCCACATGCCACATACCGTGTTCCATGCCATGTGGTATGCCAGTGATGCCGAATCACTTAAAGAAGAAGGACTCAACAATCAACGTCCGGCCATGGTGTGGGCAAGAAGCCGGGAGGCCAAAGAGCACTTGTAGCATAACCCGTGCGTCCGTGACCCACCCTCTGCGCTGCCTACCTGCTTCGCCAGTTCCTGCAGAGTTCTCTTTCCCAGAAGCTTCTTGCCCTCCAAGCTGCCATGGGCAGCACCAGCAGCCACATCACCTGCTCCAGTAAAAACCTCCCCAGAGCCCCCGGCTGCAGCAGCAGCAGCAGCAGCAGCAGCACCTGGTCGGCTGGGCACCCTGCCAGACGACTGCTGTGCTGCCTGTGGCTGCTTCGGCTGCTGCTGTTGCTGCTTTTGGTGCTGCTGTTGCTGTTGCTGTTGCTGCTGTTGCTGTTGTTGCTGTTGCTGTTGTTGCTGTTGCTGTTGTTGCTGTTGCTGTTGCTGCTGCCTGTGTTGCTGTTGCTTCTGCTGCTGCAGCAGCTGGTGGTGATGGGGAGAGGGAGCGAAGTGCTGCTGTTGCTTGCCCTGGGTGGGCGACAGAGGAGAGAGTGCTCCCACCGACCCTTGCTGGCCGTGCTGCTGTGAGAGGGAAGAGCGATGTGAGAAGAGACGAGGGTGGGAAGGAGGATGCGAGAGGCGAGGAGGGCGGGAAGGGATGGCCGCGAGAGAGAAAGAGGACAACATGGAGAGGGAGAAGGGCGGGGAGAGGAGGCGAGTAAGGAGGAGGCGAGAGAGAAAGGGGGACGCGCAGGAGGGAAGAGACACAGGAGATGGAGGCAGCAGGGAGGGAAGAGACACAGGAGATGGAGGCAGCAGGGAGGGAAGAGACACAGGAGATGGAGGCAGCAGGGAGGGAAGAGACACAGGAGATGGAGGCAGCAGGGAGGGAAGAGACACAGGAGATGGAGGCAGCAGGGAGGGAAGAGACACAGGAGATGGAGGCAGCAGGGAGGGAAGAGACACAGGAGATGGAGGCAGCAGGGAGGGAAGAGACACAGGAGATGGAGGCAGCAGGGAGGGAAGAGACGCAGGAGATGGAGGCAGCAGGGAGGGAAGAGACACAGGAGGTGGAGGCAGCAGGGAGGGAAGAGACACAGGAGATGGAGGCAGCAGGGAGGGAAGAGACACAGGAGATGGAGGCAGCAGGGAGGGGCGTAGAGAGGAGACGGGGGCACGGGGCGGAGGGTGAGCAGCGCAAGTGCGATGCGTGCGGGGCTCTCAAGCTGCTCGAGGAGCACTGTCTCACTCCCATGTCATCCATGCCACGTCGCCCATGCCATGTCATCCATGCCGTGCAGTACCATGCGCATCACATCACATCACATCACATCACATCACATCACATCACATCACATCACATCACATCACATCACATCACATCACATCACATCACATCACATCACATCACATCACATCACATCACATCACACGTCACGTCACGTCACATCGCATCGCATCGCATGGCATCACATCACATCACGTCACGTCAAATCGCACCTGTGTGCCTGTCTGTCCCCTTGACCCATATGCCATGCCGCCTGCCCCCCCCGCCCATGCTGCTCTGCCTGCTCCGCTCCCCCCTACCCGCCGCTTCCGCCTACCTGCTGCATTCCGCCCCGGGCGCCTCCCCCTGGGCTGGCGCTGTAGCCTTGCTGCTGCAGGTGTGGCGCACTTGGGGAAAAGGAGGCCCCGCCAGGGGATGCGGATTGCGCCTGGGCGGCGTATTGGGGGGGCGCTGAAGGGGGGGAGAACTGGGAGGGCACGGTGGGGGAGGACTGGGCGCCGCGCAGATTGGAGGGAAGGTGCAGGGAGGAGGGGAGGGCGGACAGGGAGGCGGAGGGGCTTGGGGAAGCGCCAGCCTTCCCCATGGTTTGCGCCATGGCGGAGGGGGAAGGCGCACCCTGCGCGGAGGCGTTAGGGTTGTTGGCAAGGGCGGACGCGCGCAGCTGTGCGCTCGCCGTTGGACTCATCACCCCCCCCATTGCGCCACCCGCCATTCCGGCGGGCGCGTTAGCGGCAAGCGTGTAAGGGGCTGCGACGCGGGACATGGGGTAGGAGGCGGGCTGCGAGGGGGAGGACGTCGCGGGCATGGGGGAGGCGGCGGGGGGGCCTGGCGGAGGCATGAGGGACGCGGGCGAGGAGTGCAGCGCGTGCGTGGCGGGGGAGGAAGCATCGGCGTGCGGCAGGTGGGTGGGCATGGCGGAGTGAGGGCGCGCGCGGAGAAGGCGAAAGTTGCGGAGTGGAAATTAGCGGGGAAAGAGGAGTCGATTTGGAGGGATAGCGTGTGCAGAGAAGGACTGTTGGACGAGCGGAGTGTTGGACGAGCGGAGTGTTGGACGCACCAGCGGCTTGCTTGCGACAGCGAACGACGGATGGAGCGACTGGTGAGTACGACGGGCAAAGGCAGTCAGGGGTGGAGGCAGGACGAGACGGTCGGTAGATTGCAGGAAGAGAGACCCCGCGGGGGCGCCGAGATAGAGGGCGTGTGCGGGCAGGTACAGGTGGGGCGAGGTGATCCGTAGGGAACTTGGAGGCTTGGGGAGAAGAGCTGTGCAGCGTGGTGGTAGGGCGAGAAGGTGGGAGAAGGTCATGGCAGATTGGTTGTGACGCCTCTTCTATATTGTACGATACCCACTGCCATTAGATCGCAAATGGCTCGTAGCGAGGTTGCTTCAAAACTGGATATTGAGCCCCAGAAGCTCCATCCTCCCTTTGTGGTAACCCGGCTCATCCAAAACGGTCCCTCACACCTCATAGCAGCCCCAAAGGTTCAGGGCGCGTCATTATAGTGCACGCGGGTCGATTCAAGCTCGATCTCTAGATGTACAGCATACACTCCGCGTCGCCTCGCACAGTGACGAAAAAGAAATACTATTTTCTCTCAGCTATCAATGTTTTTCCGTGAGATTTCGCTCGTTCAACGAATTGTGTAACCGATCTTGGGCATCGGTCTCAGGCTAATGCTTGATCGAGGTCAGCATCGGTCACTATGCCGATTCCCACAAAATACACGCCAAAAATGACGCGCCCTCACTTTCTGTTCGAGAAAAAAGCTTCACCGCTTGAAATCCATACTCACCGACCTGAAACTTAATACACTTTTTTCTTCTATTTAGTTTTGCTTTGTTTTGCACTGGCCTGAGCCTGTAAGCAGGAAATGGTAAAACACGGGCAAACGGGACCTTGAAGGGGAAAACCCACAGTAAACACTGACACTTGGTTACAAAATCTCGCTCATGTACCAGATTAGTTGCTATGCGACGTCCCAGCTCTGAAACTCGCAATTGTCGAAGCTCGACTTGGCTGTTTGCTATCCTTCAGACTGCTGCCAATCAAGTTCAGTGTCAACGTGAGTCATGCTGAGAATATGGTACAGGTCATATGCCCTGAGAGCGACTTCATTTTACGCCCGGGAGTATCTCATAGGCATTTTATCCTTAAGAACCTCTCCTTGTAAGCAAAGTGTACCCGTCTCAACTGAACAGTAAATATGACAGTTAAGTCGGATGTTGTAAGACCGTCCAATAATTTTCTCATGTGCTTTCAGAGCGACCACGCCTAGTGGTCGGCGAGCCTCTGAAAATCCAGATGTGTCAGGCTCGCCAACCAATGTCGATTTTTTTTTTCCAACAGATCGCTGACGGTCTAGTAGGATTACGACTGCAAACCACAACCAATAGGAAATAGAAAATCCGTCAAACCACAACCAATAGGAACGCACCCAGGAGCGCGTCAATGAATCTGTTATTATTTTGAAACCAGGCCTGTGGAAGTGAGGGCAGTTACACTGCTTTGTCAAGAAAAACAGGGTGGAATTTCGACGCCCGAGTTTTGAGTAGGGGATGGACTTACCCTGAAAATTTTAATGTAGAAGTTCACACCCCTAGAAAAAATGGCTCCCCTATCATTGTCAGGAGTGGCACATTCTGAGCAGGGCGAAACTCATGCCTGCAAAAACAGTCAAAAGTTTAGAGCTACTCAGCCAGGAAGTCTTGGGCAAACTCGGATTACGCAGGGTGACCCCTAGGTTATCGAGGGACCAGCTTGAAACGCGAAGTTGATACACAGGTGGAGAGACTTGCGACGCTGCGACGTTTCCTCAATCGCTGCATACGCCAGTCAAGCCGCCCATGCACAGTACACAAAAAACACCGCCCCATTTCCTGGGAAAATCCTATAGTCCACGTTGCCCCTACCGTACGGCCCGTATTCGTTGTAAGCGAAATCTCTCGCGTCGCCCCCCGGGCTCTCAGGGCATATGACCTGTAGGTGGGATTGCGATTTGAACTGTCCCGGGCGGGACAATAAAGAAGATCAAGTGTACTGCAACTGGAAACGAACTCTTGTGAGGTGCTCGCAAAAACGCCCCAAGCACCACTCTGTGCCACCAAGCACCACTCCGTGGCACCATAGGATAGGAGCCCATTCCTTCATCAGCACGATCGGAATCGCTGCGTAGTCATTTCGACTGTGCGCACGTCGTTTGACCTTGTCGCTTCACGCAAGTTGCAGCGCTCGACGTGTAAGGCATCCCTAGAGCACCGCTGATGCCTTCTCGCTTCTCCCTTGACCGCGATTCACACACTGCGCGCCGATAGCCGATAGCAGGTAGCTGGTAGGAGCGAGCGCCATGGGCAAGCCAGAATCGAGAGTCGCGGAAGGGGCGGACGCAGGCAGTCCGGGGAAAGCGGAGGGGCCGACAGCGGAGGAGGCGGGGAAGCGGAGGGAGCGGTTGGGGGCGGAGATGCGCAAGGCGGTGGCGCAGCTGGACAAGGCGGAGCCCGCCGCCGTGGTCGAGGGGCTGCAGCGGCTGCACGCGCGCATCGCGAGGCACGGCGCGCGCGCCGTGGAGGCGTACGTGCGCGTGTCGCCCCCGGACTGGCTGCAGCTGCTCCAGCTGTGGGACGCCTGCCATCGCCGCGGCGGCTCGCACCAGGTGGGCCCATGGCACCACCCGCCACCTCCGCTCCCGGCGCCGCTTTGCGCAGAGATCCGCACCATCTTGTCGCATGGCTCTTAGCCCCAACCCTGAATCCCGTTCTTAAACCCTGTGCCCAGAATCGCCAACCGCTTCCCCCCCCCCCCCCTCTCCCTCCCCCCCCCCGACCCCTATGGTCGTTCTCTCACTCTCTCCCCGTCCCGCCGTGCGCAGGTGGCGGTGCCGCTCATGGCGGTGCTGGCAGACATCCTCGCCCTCACCGCGCACACACCCAGCCCCCATTCCCCCACATCGTCCCGCGCCCCTCCCTCAGCTCCCCCGCCCGTGCTGGGCGCACCGCTGCCCCTCTCCCGGCGCATAGAGGCCCTGGCGCGCGCCGTGCTGACCCGGTGCTGCAGGAAAGGCGGCATCTACCCCCACCTCGCCTCCCCCCTCCGCCTGCACTCCAACTCCGCCCTGCGCCTCCTCCTCGCCCTCTCCCTCGTCTCCGCCCCTCTCACCCGCTACCTCCTCCTCTCCTTCGACTTCTCCCTCCCCGCCCTCCCCTCCCTCACGCAACCCCCCGCGCCCCCCCAGGCTGCAGGCAGCGGGGGGAGGGGGAAGGGGAAGCAAATGGGCGCACAAGGGGGGGAAGCGGGCGCGGTGTTCTGGTCAGGCACACCTGCGGTGGTAGTGGGGGGGGAGGAGGAGCAGGAGCGGGAGCAGGGGGAGCAGGGGGCGTTATTATTGGCATTGAGGGGAGGCAAGCAAGGGGAGCGGGAGGGTGGAGGGGCGTGTGAGGAGGTGGGGGAGTTGCCTCCGCGGGTGCTGGTGGTGGAGTGGGTGGTGGCGTGCCTCGCCATGGCGGATGCTGCCTCACTCACGCACGCCCTGGTGGCGCTCAGACCGCAGCTCGCCGGCATTCTCTGGCGCCTCGCAGGGGACCACCCCGTCACAGCAGCCAAGGTGCTATGGGTGCTGCAGACGCGCATCATGGCTGCCAGTAGCAACGTGCCACGTGGCCTGCAGGGAGCACTGTTTGGGGAGAGTGCACTGGAGCAGATGGCGCGCGTGGCGGGGAGGGGGGAGGGGGCGGGGGGAGCAGGGGGGGGTGGGAAGAGGAGTGCGAGGGCGGTGGCAGCATGGTTAGCTCTGGAGGTGCTGCTGGGCGTGTGCACAGACCCCAGGCACGGGGTGCTGCTGGGGGGGGGGATGGGGAGACGAGGGGAGGGAGTGAAGGAAGGGGGAGAGGGGGAGGAGATGGCAGAGGAAGGCATGGGAAGGGGTGAGGAAGGGGAGAAGGGTTGGGCAGACAAGGAGGGGGCAGAGGAGCTGTGGGCTCACGACAAGAGCGGATCCACATCCACCTTGTCTGCTGCTGCTTCCGAAGCCTCCTCTCATTGGTCGGCTGGCATGGATCGTCTTATCCGCCTGGCCCGTGGGCTGCGTGTGCTGCAGTGTGCCGCCCACCGCACGCTGCTTCTGGCCATGGCCCAGGCGAGCCCTCCCCTCGCTGCTGCGTACCTGCAGCACCCCCCCTTCTCGCTGCAGCCCAGGCCGCATGCCCACTGGTACGATGCAGCCTAAGTCAAATCCACCATCTGCCATCTATTATCGCCATCCAGTCTTCAGCTTTCTCCCGTGGCCCCATTTGTCCCTTGATCACACAATCGTCCCAACCCCATCATCGCCGCCATCCCCCACCCCCCATCCCCCACCCCCCATTCCCCGTTCCCCATTCCCCATCCCCCATTCCCCATTCCCCATTCCCCATTCCCCATTCCCCATTCCCCACCCCCCGCCAACCTTCTCCCCCCCAGGTTCGCGGGCATGGCCATTGTGAGCCGCCTTGTGCGCATCTCCTCCGCCCTGCCCCTGCTCTCCCCCTCCTCGCCCTTCGCCCTCCACCTCCCCTCCACCAACGTCGCCCCCCTCCTCTCCCGCATCATCCCCCCGTGCCTCTCCCGCCCCATCCTCACGCGCTCCCTCCTGCACCGTTCGCCCCGCGTGCGCCTGCTGGCGCTCTGCACGCTCCTCGACTGCCTCGCCGCGCTGCTGCCCCTCCTCGCCCTCGCCCGCCCCCTCGCTGCTGCGCCCGGCTGCGTGGATGGGGCAGGGGAGAGTGCGGAGGGGGAGGAAGGGTTGTGGTGGAGAAGAGGGTGCGAGGGTGGGGATGGGGAGCAGATGAGGAAGGAGGTGGAAACACAATTATCTGATCAGCGCCCCGTGGCAGGCATGTATTGGAGTGCGGTGGTGGGGGCAGTGCGAGGGCATGTGGTGGGCGCCGTGCCAGACCCGCAGATAGTGCTGGGCGTGCTGGCAGGGGTGGAGCACAGCACGGCGGAGGGGGGCAGGGAAGAAGCGCGGAAAGGGGCAACTGTGTGCGGGGTGAGGAGGAGGGCAGGGGGCACAGGGGAGGGCGGCAGGAGAAAGAGAGGGCGGGGAGAAGCAGGGGAGTGGCAGGTGATGGGGGAGTGGCAGGTGATGGGGGAGGGCGGGAGGGAGGGAGATGAGGAGGGGAAGGTGGAGGAAGGAGTGGAGGGCGGAGCGGCAGAGGAGGAGCAGGAGGAGGACGAGGAAGAGGAGGAGGTGGGGTTGGATGATGAGATGGATGAGGAGGAGGAGGGTGGGCGGTGGCCGGTGCGCCTGCTGCTGCACTGCAAGGCACTGCGCCTCCTCTCCCTCTACCAGGTGCCGCTTCCTCTCACCGCACCTGCACATACCGCACTGCACTTCTTGCTTCCCTCCCCCCTCGTCGCGTCACGCCCCGCCCTTGTTGTTTAATCCATCCCACCCCCCTCAACTTCTCTCCACTTCCCCCCTCCCCTCCCTCCCCGCTTCCTCCCCCCGCCCCGTCCCCCCTGCGTGCAGCTCGTTGTGCCGGCCGCGGTGGCGGGCTGCCACGTGGACCCGCTGCGCTTCCTGCGCCCCGACCTGCCCTCGCTGCCGCCGCCCCTCCTCACAGCCACTCTGCGCCTCCTCCTCGCGTTCTTCCCCCCTCCCGCCCCACCCACCCTCGCATCGCTGCCGCCACCTGCCGTGTCCCAAGGCGCCGGAACACCCGAGTGCAATTCGCCCTGGCCCGCACCCTCTGCCTGCCTCGCCCTCTCCACCTTTCCTCTCCACAGCCACCTCCTCCCTCTGCTTCTGCTGCGCCTCTCCGGCCCTCCCCCCGACCTCGCTTCCGATATCGACTGGCTGTGCAACGCTGCCATGCTCTCCTCCCATGCCTTTGATGCCCGCCAAGCAGAGGCCACCATCTGGCTGCGCTTGCTGCCTGCCATCCCACCCAACAGCAGCACCAGCAGCAGCAGCGTGGCGGCAGCGCGTGCTGTGGCGTCCTTCCTGGCAGATGCCCTGGCCTGTGTGGCCCGAGCGCCTCTCAAGTACCTCCTCGCCCTCCCTGCCACCTCGCCACCCTCGCCACATGCATCCCACTGCCCCTCCTGCCGCGTTTGTGACGGACACACAGCCATGGGCTTCCTCGGCCCCTTCCCCGCCTGCATCCTCTCCAACTGCCTCAAAGTGCTGCTCGCCCCCTCCCCCCCCCCCGCCGCCTCCTCCTCCTCTGCTGCGCCTGTGAAGCTGGCCATCGCTGCCTTCACCTGCAGCGCCCTCACCCAACTCATCACCCTTCAGGTCTCTCCCTTCTCTTTCCTATTGCCGTCTCTCCCTTCTCTTTCCTATTGCCGTCTCTCCCTTCTCTGCCCAATCCATTTTCTCGTTCTTCTCCGCGTTCCTACCTTTCTGCTTATCCCCGCCTTGCAGCACTGCCCTGTCAACCATAACTTGACTCGTTCACACCGCTGCTGTATCACACATTTGTGCGCACACACTTGTCCTCCTTCCTTTCCTTACTCTTCTCTTCGTGCCTACCAACAGGACTGCCCTCTCCCTCTCGCTGCTCTCATCACTCACATCCTCCGTCCTGCTATCTCTTCCCCCTCCTCCTCCTCCTGCGCCTCTCCACACCCGCGCCCTCCGCTCGCTCCACCTCTCCTTTGCTTGCAAGAGTTGCTGCGTTTGGCGCGCTCACTGCTTCCGGCACGAGGCCAGGGGGAGGACGAGGAGAACGGGGACGGGGACGGACCACACACCACCACTGCTGCTGCTCATGGCGATGGCGATGGCGATGGGAGTCATGGTGCTCTTGGCGATGATGCTTATGGCGATGAGGGGCGTGCAGCACTAGAGGCGGCAGAAGTGAGCCTGGAGTCAGAGCAAGAGGGTGGCAGAGGCGCTGCTCTCGCATCCTTCACACTCGCCCTCTCCGCTTCCCACCCACCTGCCCTTATCGCCCTCCTCCCTCGCCTTGCCTCTCTCGCTGCGTCCCTTCCCCCACCCGCCATGCCCCTTCTCTCCTCCACTCTTCTCACCCATGGCCTCCTCCCCTCCCTACTGCCAGCGCACCTCCCTGTGCTGCTGGAAGCGTCTGCCTTGGCGCGCCATGCACTGCTGCCCGCTGCCGCCCGTCACACGTGTGTGCCTCCCTGCGTGGCCTCACCGCTGCCTCTCGCCCTTCCGCCCATGCCCGCCTCCCCACACCCCTCCACCTTGGTCCTCTCCCGCGTCCTCCTCTCCCTGCCCTTCGCCCCCCTCCTCTCTCTGTGCCTGCACGCCCTCCTCTCCCCCCTCAAGCCCCGCCACCGCCTCGCCTCCTCCCTCTGCGCGCTGCTCCTTGCGCGTCTGCACGTGTGGGGAGGGGCAAGCCGTGCACGTGCGGGCCAGGGGGAGGCAAGCATGTGGACGGAGCGGAGGGGCGAGGCGGGGAGGGCTGTGCTGTTTGAGCTGGGGCGAGTGCTTGGGGCGGCCAGGGCAGGGGGCGAGCAGGTGGCGATGAAGGGCGGCGAGTGGCGGCGGCGGCAGCGCTGTGTGCGCGTGTGCGTGGCGCTGCTGGAGGCCGCACTCATGCCGCCCGGCACGCCGGGCCATGCCACGCAGGATGATAGCGGGTGGAGTGGAGGGGGGAAAGGCAGAGGGCAGCATGGGGACGTGGAGAGTGAGAGGGTGTGTGAGTTTGTGGTGCAAGCATCGGACATCATGTCGCACCCATTTCTGTTGGCAGCATTCAGGGGCCACTTGGACGCCGTGACTGCCTGGCCGTCTGTGCGCCTCTCCTCCCTCCGCACCTTCCTCCGCCTGTCCATCTCCCGCCTCCTCCTTCGCCTCCTCCTCTTCTGCCGTTCACTTCACCTCCCTGCTCCCCTCTCACCCACCCCCCCACCAGCCCTCACCGCCCTCCCTCTGCTGCAGGCCTGCCAGCCTTTCCTCTGCTCCGCCCATCACTCTCTTGCTGCCTCCCTCACGCCATTCCTCCCCTCCCCATCCCCCTCTTCCCCTTGTCGTCCCGCTGCTCCCCCCACTGCCACTGACGTGGTGCTGCTGGCGGAGGCAGGGTGGGATGGCAGGGGCAGGGGCGGCAGCAGGGGCGAGGAGGAGAGCACATGGTGGCAGGGGATGGAAGGGAGGGCGCTCAGCGAGTGGCACTTTGAGTTTGAGACGTGCCGTGTGGCGTGGAGGGGGGAGGTGGAGATGAATGGTGATGGTGGGGAAGGAGGCGAAGGGTGTGGGGAGGAAGCAGGGCAAGGTGTGGCAGGGTGTGGGGTGGCAGTGCCAGTGGGCGTGGTGGTGGCATTGTGGCTCACGGACTTCATTGCTCTGTGTTGCCACTCCTCCCCATCTCCCCTTGCTCCCCCCTTCGCTCTCTGTGCCTCTTCTCTTCTGCCCGGACTCGCCCCTTCCTTGCCCGACCTCCTCCCTCTCCCCTGCTCCCCCTGCCTCGCCAGCCTGGCAGCATGGGCGGGATGGATGGCAGCAGTGGCGCAGGGCATGGCAGGCGGGCAGATGCTGATGCATGGGGGAGAAGCAGGGGATGGTGAGGGGGAGCGTGTGAGGGGGGCATGTGAGCACATGGCGCTGAGACTGGCGTGTTTGACATTCGCTCATGCCAAGGCAGCCATGGGAGATGGGCGTGCTGGAGTGCCGTGGCTCGCCCCACAGGCATCGCCACAGCCACTGCCCCGCGCAAGCGCGCAAGGTGAGGGCCAAGGTGCATCGCTCTCACTCGCAGCGCTGGTGGAGTGGGCCATGCGCGCCCTGCTCACACGAGGCACACCCCTGGCAGAGCGCACTGTTGTAGCGGCACTGGAAGCTGCACAGCATCTTCCTGCGCTGCACGTGTGGCCTGGCCCACTGCCCTCCCAAGCACCACCCTCTTGCGTTCGCCTGCAGCCCGTGTCCACAGGGGCCGTTGAGAGGCGAGTGATTGAGGTGTGCGTGCAGCAGCCATCTTGGCGCCGAGGCAACCTGCTCTCGCTGCTTCTGGCCGCCCACGGGCTCCCAGAGGGACGCAGCGAGTGCAGCGCGAGGGCAGGCGAGGTGGTGCAGGCGGTGGCGCAGTGGATGGGCGGGGAGGCGAGGCAGTGGGCGGGCACACAGCAAGTGAGGGGCAAGGGTGGCAGGGGTGGTGCTGATGGTGCTGGGGAGCCTGCATGGTGGCGGGATGAGGACAGGTGGCTGAAGATGGTCATGCTGCTGCCGGCAGTGGCTGCTGCTGTGGGTGGGCAGGGGAAGGAAGGGGAGGGCGGTGGGGCAGCAGCGACGAGTGTGGTGGCGTGCATGTACCGAGACATGCTCATCGACCTGCTCGCACACAGCACCTCGTCCCATGGTGCCCACGCCACCCCTTCCTACCACCATCCTCTCTCTCTCATTCCTCCTCATTTCCTTCCCGCCTTGCTCTCATTCGTCCCTGCTTTCCTCCACTCCCTCCTCCTCTCTCACCCCCTCCCCCGCGCGCGCCTCTCCTCGCTCTTCCACGTGCTGGTGGTGCGGGAGAAGCACAAGGCAGGGAAGGGCGGGGTGGGGAAGGGGAAGGCGAAGGGGAGAGGGAAGAGCAGGGCGAAGGCGGAGGAGAGTAGAGGGGGGGTGCTTGTGGGTGAGGGGTGGCTCGTGCAGGGAGGGTGTGTGTCGGCTGAGGTGCTACTGCAGGTGTCGCTGGCCTCCCTGCTCGCCTGTGCTCACCCTCACCCCGTGGGCATGCCGCCCCACAGCAGCACTGACAGTGGCGGGGTTGGTGTTGGCAGGGGCTGTGGTGAGGGCGAGAGCGTGAGGAGTATTTTGGACACGCCTGCTGAGCAGATCAAGGTTTTCAGTGCGCTTTTGATATTTCTTGGAAGCATCTTGCCTCTAGCACCAGAGGCACAAGTGTCTGTGGTGGCATGCAGTGGTGCTGGCAGTGGGTGGGGCGTGAGAGGGGATGTGGGGAGTGGAGACGAGAGGGCAAGGGCAGGGGGGCGGGTGACAATGACAGTGGGGCAGCTGCAGCAGTTTGCTGCCATCCAGGTGGCCCGCGTTGCCACCCATCTTGCACACACGCTCCCTGCTGCTCCATCTGCCGCCGTGCCACCACACCCGCTACCATCTCCCGCCAGCCCAGACGCCTCCTTGCCTGAGGTGCAGCTCGCCCTCTCCTCGCTGCACCATGCAGCCGTGGTGTGCCTCAAGCACCGCTTTGCTCACCCACACTGCTTCCACGCCCTCACCCTCGCCTGCCACGCCCTGCTCACCGCCGCCACTGCCCCCTCGCCTCGTGCTCCAAGGCATCCTGCGTCAGCAACAGCAGTATCACCGTCGCCACCACAGGGGCCGTCGCCGGCAGCAGCAGCGGCAGCAGCAGTGTCCAGCGTGGGCGCGGCCCTGTTTGACCTCCTCCTCGCCCACTCGCGCATGCTGCCGCTCCTCCTCTCCCCCTCCTCTGGCTGCTCCGCCTCTCCCCTGCCTGCAGTGCTGGGCCGGCAACTTGACAAGGACAGGAGCAGAGCCCTCTCGCTCCCCTCCCCCCTCTCCCTCATCCCCCATCCCTTCCTCCCCGACCTCCCCCTCATTGCCGCCTCCTCCTGCCCACCCTCTGCTGCTGCCAGTCCTCCCTCGCGTGGGAGGTGGTCTGGGGCAGCGAGGCAGCTGCGAGAGGAGCAGAGAGGCGGAGAGGGAGTGGAATTGGGAGAGGGAGAGGCAGAGGGAGAGGCAGAGGGAGAGGCATGGGGGCTTGGAGGTGGCAGAATGCATACAGGAGGCGGGGCAGCAGCAGGCATTGCGGTGGGGGTGCAAGCCAGCGAGCTCCTGCAGACGAGATTTCACTCCACCATGCTCTGGCCGTTTACAGCGCCACGCGTGGCGCGAGACTGTGCAGGGAGAAGGGAGAGAGAAGGGGAAGAGGGGGAGAGGATTGATGGGGAATCAGGCAAAGGAGGGAAGAGGAGGGGGGAGGAGGGAGGAGCAGAGACAGTTGATGGCGCATCCAGGTTGGAATTGCTGCGACTCATGACTGTTCTCCTGCGAATGCGAATGTGCCACGTGTCTGGGCGTGCATGCTCACCCGCGTCTGTGCGTGCCGTGCAGTCGCTCTTCCCCCTGCTGCTCTCCCTCTACTCCGCCACGCTCAGCCCCACCGACTGCACACTGCTCACCCTCATGCGCCTCATTGCCCGCCTGGGGGGGCGGGGCAAGGCACACAAGGGGCACCAGGGAGACAATGGCACCCACGCACAGGGGCACTCAGCAGGTGGTGCACATGGGCTCAGTGCGGTTGGTGCGAGCGAGTTCAGGGGCTTCGAGTGGTTTGACTTCCTCTGGGGGCAAGGGGCCGCAGCGCGCTGGGAGGGGCAGCAGGGGATGGGGAGGGCATCGGCGCAGGCTGCAGTGTGTGCTGCATCTGGTGGTGAGGGCAAGGCAGGGGGTGCGGTGGGGGGCGGCAGGGAGGAGGTGGAGCCCGGGAGAGAACAAGTCGCTGGGAATGGAGAGGCGGTGCGTGAGGGGCGTGAGGGGGGGGTGTTTGAGGGGCGAGAGCAGCGGCAGTGGCGGTTCTGGTGGGAGGAGGCTGCGGTGGATGCAACGCGCTGCGGGCTGCTCGTGCTCGCCTTCCCTCCTCACCGACGCGCGGGCCTGGGGGACGAGGGGCGAGATGGTGAGGAGGGAGAAATGAAGGACGTGTATGAAGAGGGGCGGTGGGCGAATGAGTGGGCGGGGTATGGGGGCACATGTACGTGCAGTGCATGTTGCAGAGGAGGCAGGGGCGACCCTTGTGAGTGGCAGCAGGGCGGGCAGGGACATCCCCTTCCCGGCTCGGCAGCGGCTCAGGACGTGGCTGTGCAGCAGGCCGCCTACGACCCCGCCTTCCTCCTCCCCTTTACCCTCCACGCCCTCTCCCGCCGCCTGCTCTCGCCCCGCATGGCCGCCCGCTCCGGCCTCATCGCCACTGCCATCGCCAGCCTGGCGTCGGCGCGACAGTGCATGAGGCGCCTCGGATATGCCACGCTCGCCCTCTTCAGCGCCCTGCTCGAGGTACCCAACTGCTGCTGCGAGCACATTCGGACTCAACTAGGTGCTCTGCTACGAATGCGGGCATGAGTGTGGGACATGACATGTTGGATGGCACGAAACAGTGTGATGCTGGCAGCAACTGTGATTGGTGGCAGAAGAAGAACCCCCTTCATTTGCATTCATCCTCTTCCTCTGCTTCTGCCCTGCATCTTTGGTCCACGGCTTGTTCTCTGTCGTGCCCCTTTGGCTGAACGAGTTGTGTGGTGCAGGAGCAGGAGGAGGGGTGGAGGGAGCAGCGCGCGGTGCAGCATGTGGTGCGCTGCGTGCGAGGCAGCGTCACCAGCACGTGGCAGCGCCTGCCGCGCCTCTCTGTGCTCTTCATGGCCGAGATGCTCCAAGTCATGCACCTCGGTGGAGCCTCCCCGCTCTTCCCTCTCCTCTCCCAAACGCTTCTCTCCCAACCATCCTTCAACCTCAAGGTAGGTCTGCCGATCTTTACGTCTTCCCTCTTGGCCATCTGCGTGTATCACTTTCTAATCCTCACTTCCTATCGTCATTCCACTGCCCCTGCCCCCCACTGCAGTCCGTGCCACTGTTTCTGCCGTGTCTCTTCAGCGGCTCCCCCCACCACCGCGCCCAGCGCACGTGGATGCTGCACCTCCTGGCTGCGCTCGCCCTGCCACCCCTGCATGCCTCGCCTGCTGCTGCTGCCGCCTCATTGCTTCCCCTTCCCCCACAGCACGTGGCTGCGGGGAGAGAAGGGCAGAGGAATGATGATGGGACAGCGGATAAGGGCGAGGGTGGCCAAGGGGATGGTGGCAGTGGTAGGGCAGAGGAGCGGCATGAAGATGCCAGCGCCCAGGAGGATGCCGTTTTGCGCCGCCGCTTCGTAGTGGAGCTTTTGGGAAGCTTCTTTGCATGCGGGGTGTGCGATGCGTTCACGTGCAAGCTCATCCTGCAGGTGCTGCGGCGCCTGTGCCGCCTGCCCTCGTATGCAGACCACCTTGTGCGGCAGGGCGGGCTGCTGCTGTGGCTGACAGCCGTGGTCCAAGCTGCCACTCACAGCCTCCACCGCGCCCACGCCCACACCGCCCACCTCGCTCTCTTGCTGCCACCCACCTCAGGGGCAGGGGGGCCTGCTGGATATGCTGCAGCAGAAGCAGCGGCAGCAGCAGGGCGGGCGGATGGGAGGCAGTCAGGGATGGATGTTGTGGCGCTCGTGGTGGAGGTGAGTGAGAGAGGCGTGCAGCGGTGCATCACCGTCTGCTGTCACACACCGTGCAGCGGTGCATCATCGTCTGCTGTCACACACCGTGCAGCGGTGCATCACCATCTGCTGTCACACACCGTGCAGCGGTGCATCACCGACTGCTGTCACACACACCAACCTGCGTCGCTTTATGGATGCCTCGCTGTCATGTGGTGGTGGTATCGTGTAGTGCTTTGCGGTATCATTTTGATTAAGGAATGTTCTGTGCGCCTTCTTCATTCCTCAATTAAGCCTCTTCTTTCAACTCCCCTCTCCCCGTCCTTGCACGCGACCCGGTCACCAGGTACTGCAAGGGCTGCTGTCGTGCCCACCAGTACATGCAGCACTGCACTCGCATGCAAGCCCGGCCTCCCATCACCTCCTCCTCCTCTGCGGCACACTGCAACATGCATCACACACAGCCGTCACCACTATCCGGGGTGCCACCTCTAGCACCCACCACCTCTCTTCTTCATCACTTGGGCTAGCAAGGCTTACCCACTCTGCCATGGTGAAGCTGAGAGCTGTTTTGCAGGATGTGAGGCATCACTTAGCAGAACAGCAAGGTAGACTGACGGAGTAGCCATGCTGGAAGTTGTGCAGACAGCTGGAAGCATTGGTAGATCTGGAAAGCAATGCGCATGCTAGGGTATGCCTGGAAGCTTAGGAATTTGGGAATTTATATGGTAGTGCTATCTGTCAAACATGTGTATTTGTCATGTTTGTATAGACTGTATAGGGTCGCCTCTTAGAGAGTACAACACTTAGGTATATCTTTGTGTACTCTCACTCTATCATATATTCAATTTCAATTTGATATGGTATCACGCGTAGGTAGGATCCCCCCCACCTACCGCTTCCGCTCACCCAGTCGCGACCCCCCCCTAGCCCCGTCGCGCCCCTCACTGGGCCCTGTCGCGCTCCTCTCAGGCCCCCTAGCGCCCCTCCTGGGCCCCGTCGCGCTCCTCCCAGGCCCCGTCGCGCCCCTCCTAGGGCTCCGTAGCGCCCCTCCTGGGCCTCGTCGCGCCCCTCCTGGGCTTCGTACCGCCCCTCCTGGGCCCCGTAGCACCCCTCCCAGGCCCCGTCGCGCCCCTCCCAGGCCCCCTAGCGCCCCTCCTGGGCCCCGTAGCGCCCCTCCTGGGCCTCGTCGCACTCCTCCCAGGCCCTGTCGCGCCCCTCCTGGGCTCCGTAGCGCCCCTACTGGGCCCCGTCGCGCCCCTCCTGGGCCCCGTAGCGCCCCTCCTGGGCCCCGTCGCGCCCTCCCTGGGCCCTGTAGCGCCCCTCCCAGGCCCCGTCGCGCCCCTCCCAGGCCCCCTAGCGCCCCTCCTGGGCCCCGTCGCGCTCCTCCCAGGCCCCGTAGTGCCCCTCCTGGGCCCCGTAGCGCCCCTCCTGGGCCTCGTCGCGCTCCTCCCAGGCCCTGTCGCGCCCCTCCTGGGCTCCGTAGCGCCCCTACTGGGCCCCGTCGCGCCCCTCCTGGGCCCCTGTAGCGCCTCTCCTGGGCCCCCGTCGTGCCCCTCCTGGGCTCTGTAGCGCCCCTCCTGGGCCGCGTAGTACCCCCCCGGTCCCGTCGCCCCTGCCCGACCCCGTCGCCGCCGCCCGGCCCCGTCGCCGCCGCCCGGCCCCGTCGCAGCCGCCTGGCCCCGTCGCGCCCTGCCCGGCCCCGTCGCAGCCGCCCGGCCCCGTCGCACCCGCCCGGCCCCGTTGCACCCTGCCCGGCCCCGTCACAGCCGCCCGGCCCCGTCGCACCCGCCCGGCCCCGTCGCACCCTGCCCGGCCCCGTCGCACCCGCCCGGCCGCCGTCCCGCTCGCCCGGCCCCGTCGCACCGGCCCGGCCCTGCTGCACTCGCCCGGCCCCGTCGCCCCAGCCCGGCCCCGTCGCGCCCGCTCGGCCCCGTCGCGCCTGCCCGGCCCTGTCGGGCCAGCCCCGGCCCCGTCCTCCTCACTGGTACGGTTCCCCCCTACCCTGCCCTGCTCCGTGCCGCCTCGCATCACACTGTACTGCCTGGCACCGCACTACACCGCACTGCACCGCACTGCACCGCACTGTACCGCACTGCACCGCACTGCACCGCACTGTACCGCACTGCACCGCACTGCACCGCACTGTACCGCACTGCACCACACTCCACCTAGCTGCACTGCCCTGCACCGCACTGGACTGTTCCTGATGGCGGCGGAGCTTCGCTTCGACGCTGAAGGTCAGCCCCTAGAGTTCGAGGCGTGGCTTGCCGACCTCCGCCGCCAACTCACTGGCCAGCGGCAGGATGGTGAACCGCTTTCTGCACATCTTGACGGTACGCTCCCCTGCCCAGACCCCCCTGCTATTCTGCCCGCTGACCCCACACCCACTGAGCGTGAGTCTACTGCTGCCACTACCCGTGCGCGCTCTGTCTGGCTTTCCCGCGATGCTGTCGCCCAGCTTGCCATTAGCAACGCCCTCCCCCCTACCGAGCGTCCTCGCTTTAGGTCCCTAACTACTGCTCAGGCATACTTAGATGCTGTCATCAAGCGCTATTCCACCCCTCCGGCTGCCTCGGTGGGTCGCCTGATCCTCCCGATGCTCTTTCCTGACCTTGCCTCTTTCCCCACTGTCTCTGACCTCGCTGCCCACCTGCGCTCGATAGAGGAGACCTGGCGCGCCGCCTGCACTGACGCACAGCTTAGAGCCCACCAGCCGCCCATTACCTCTACCCTCTACCTGCTTGCCACCCGCCTCCCTGACCGCCTTGCTGTCGCCCGCGACCGCTTCCTTAGCCTTCACCCCGCCGACCTCACCCTCACTGACTTTGTAGACACCCTAACTGTGATAGAGACCCGTCACCGCTCCATCGCCCAGACGAGCGGTGTCGTGCCTGTCCCTATCTTTCAGGGTTGTGCCCCCGCCCAGTGTACCTTCTCCGACGGCTCTGTCGCAGTGGCTGAGACTGCTGCTGCTGCGCAGTTTCGTTCGGGGAAGGGCCGCCGCCCCAAGGTTGGGCGCGGCGGAGGCGGAGGCGGGGGTGCGGGAGGGGGTAGTGGTGGGGTCGGGTCGTCTGGTGCTGGAGCGGACGAGGGGACCCTGCCCAGTTCAGCTGAGCCGCCGCCCCTGCAGTTGCAGCAGCCGCAGCAGCCGCCGCAGTCGCAGCCTTCGCAGCAGCCGCCGCAGTCGCAGCCTTCGCAGCAGCCGCAGCAGCCGTCGCAGACGCGGCAGACGAGTGTCCTCCCGCCCGGGTGGCCCGGCGCTGGCGGTGGCCGGGCGCGTGGTGGTGTGTCGAGTGGTAGCTCTGGCGGCGGGCGCTGTCAGTACCAGATCCAGACCGGTCCTCGCCGCGGCTTCGTTTGCGGTAAGATCGGTCACTCCACTCCCCGCTATTTTCGTCGCCTGGACGACCTCTTTCGTCAGCGCTTCGGCTCGTTGCCAAACCTCCCGGACTGGCACAGTTTGCTTAGACGTAGTATTCCGATTTTTGACGTGGACATGGATGCCATTGTTTCTGCTCTGCATGTGATGTATGCTGATGACTCTAGTGTGCTTCCAGCTTATTACTCACTGTTGCCTAGTGTAGGTGTGCCTAGCTTAGCCTCCCCTGCTGCGTCAGGCGTAGGATCCCCTGCTTTGTGTAGTCTTGGTGCTTCCGCCGTCGTTCCGTCGCCAGACGCCTCTGCTTCGCTTTCCTTCACCTTGGACTCTGGCGCTTCTCGGTGTTTCTTCCGCGACTCCACCACCCTGACGCCGCTTCCCGTCCCTGCTGCCGTTTCTCTCGCTGACCCCTCTGGCGGTCCGGTCGTCGCCCGCAGTTCCACCACCCTTCCCTGTCCGGCGGTTCCTTCGGGCTCTCTTACAGGTCTGCATATCCCCTCGTTCTCCAGGAACCTAGTTGGTGTCGGCTGCCTCCAGGACCTTGGCGTCACCACTACGTTCCCTGGTCACGAGCGGTATGCTGTCTGTACCGAGGCCGCCACTGGTGCCCCCCTGTCCACGTTCCCCCGGGACCCGGTGTCCGGCCTGTTCACTCTGGACACCGTGACCCCCCCGGCTGGAGCGCTCGCCCAGGTTGCTGCTGCCTGCTCCTGTCGGTCCCTCACTCACCCGACCCTCCTTTGGCACCACCGCCTAGGTCACCCTGCGCTCCCGCGTCTGCGTCACATGTCCCAGCACGGTCTTGTCCTTGGTCTCCCAGGTTCTCTCCCCGCGTTTCCCTCCTCCCCAGCCCCACCTTACACGCCTTGCGTCGAGGGTCGGCTTCGCCGTGCCCCTCACTCCTCCTCGTTTCCCCCTACCGCCGCGCCGCTGCAGACCCTGCACCTGGACGTCTGGGGCCCCGCCCCCGTCCCTGGGCCGCGTCGAGAGCGCTACTTCCTTGTGCTCGTCGACGACTTCACTCGCTACACCACAGTCTTTCCCCTGGAGCGCAAGGCCGATGTGCCTGGCGCTCTCATCCCTTGGCTTGTCTCTGCGCGTGTCCACCGCGGTCTCCCTGTCTTGCGTCTCCACTCAGACCGTGGTGGCGAGTTTGCCTCAGGTGTCCTTGGTCGCTTTTGTCGTGCGGAGGGCATCACCCAGACGTTCACCCTACCGGACTCCCCATAGCAGAATGGGGTCGCTGAGCGACGCATCGGTTTGGTCATGGAGGTGGCTCGCACCTCCATGATCCATGCCGGTGCACCCCATTTTCTGTGGCCGTTCGCTGTGCGCTACGCTTCTCACCAGCTTAACCTGTGGCCGCACCCTCAGCAGCCGCAGGTTTCGCCGACCCGTCTGTGGACTGGGTCTCCTGGTGACGCGTCTGCGTTCCACGTCTGGGGCTGCCTTGCTCACGTTCGTGCCTCCGGCACGGACAAGCTCACTGCCCGCACCCTTCCCTGCGTCTTCCTCGGTTTTCCCCTTGACGCGTCCGACTGGCACTTTTACCACCCGCCGTCTCACCGCTTCTTTCACTCTCGTGACGTCACCTTTGACGAGTCCGTCTCCTACTACCGTCGCTTCCCCCACCGTGGTCCCCCGGTTACCCCCCCCCTGTTCCTGGTCCCTCCTTCCCCGGTAGTCCCTGCCCCTCCTCCTCCTCCTCACCGTCCCTCTCGTGCTCGTCCTGCCTCGCCTGTCCTGCGCTCCCACCCTATGTTGCTTCGTTCCCACGCGTCTCGTCCTCCCCTTCTCCCGTCGCCTCCTCCGTCCTCCCTTGTTGTTGCACCCCCCCCGCTGTCTGACTACCTTCGTGCTGCTCGTCCGCTTGTTCCTCGCGTCCTTGCCTCTCTCGTTACCGACCCGTCTGTTCCGGCCTCGTGCCTTGACGCCCTTGTTGCTGCTGTCGCTGACGTCGCCTCTACCCGCCGCCTCGACTACGCCTCCGCTCTGGTCTCTGACCCTGCCTGTCCTCCGTCTGTCGGGGGTGCTCCTGCCCTTGGCAGTGACGTCCTGGAGGACCGCCAGTTCGAGCTTGCTTTCCTCTCCGAGGCTGCTCCCCATCTCTGTTCCATGCTGCTAGTCCCTGAGGGTGACCCAGACGCTTTTGACATCTCGACCCCTCGCACTTACGCTGAGGCGACCTCGGGACCCTGGGCCTCGCAGTGGATAGGTGCCATGGAGCAGGAGATGGCATCTTGGAGATCCACCGGCACCTTCGTCGACGCAGTTCCCCCACCTGGGGTGAACGTAGTCGATGGCCGCTGGCTCTTCAAGGTGAAGCGCCCTCCTGGAGAGCCGCCGGTCTTGAAGGCGCGCTATGTGGCTAGAGGCTTCAGTCAGCGCGAGGGGGTGGACTTCTTCCAGACCTTCGCTCCGACCCCGAAGGTGACTACTCTTCGGGTTCTGTTACACCTAGCGGCTCAGCGTGACTACGAGCTTCACTCCCTCGACTTCTCCACAGCCTTCCTTCAGGGCAGCCTACACGAGCAGGTCTACCTGCGTCGCCCTCCGGGCTTTACTGGCACCTTCCCTCCTGGTACCCAGTGGCTCCTGCGGCGCCCCGTCTACGGCCTGCGCCAGGCTCCTCGTGAGTGGCACGACACTCTTCGTGCTACCCTTGCTGACCTGCAGTTCTTTCCGTCTTCCGCAGACCCTTCACTCTTCGTTCGTGCTGACCAGACTCCGTTCTACATCCTTGTTGTTAGGATTAAGGACGGAGTCTAGGTGAACTTAGGAGCTAGAATAACTCAAAATATAAATCCGAAATTCTGGACAGAAAAGTCGTCTTTACAAGAAACGACGTCGACGAAAAACTAGCCGTTGGAATGTCGCGAAACTTGGATATGTTGTAGCTCTTAATCTCAGCTACCGTTCCCAATTTGAATCACGTTGATTGATGAAGTATTCGCGACGCTATGGCTTTCGACGCATTAGGGGGTAAGCTGTAGGAGGAGAACTTAACTCAATCTCAAAGGTTCAATCAAAGTTCAAGAATCTCACAAGGAATTAAAGGAGCAAGAGAAAGGTTGGGATAGAAGAGAGGGATGAGAGGGAAGGTCCCAAGAGAGTCCCCAACCAAGGAAACCCCATAAGCACAAAGATTCCCTTCCCAACCAATCCATCCAAGTTGGCCACCCTTGCCAACCTAGCTTGGTTGTTCCCAACCAATTTGCAGCTGTTACAGTGAGTGACAAATTTCCCCAACCCCCAAAGGTCCCAACTCCATATAGAGTCACCCCACAACTTCACTTTGTAACCGCCGCAATTGTAACGCAAGCTCATGAACTTTGAATCTTCATAGCTTTCGCGTTCTTGCTCCGATTGAAGGGATTCTCGTTGCGTCGGAAAGATCTTCTCAAGATCTATCATCACAAAAAAACCTGCTCAAACAAAATAACACAAAACACATTCCCAAACTCCAGAACACATCACACACAAATTCTTGCACACGTTCAAACCACACATGCAAGTTGAAAAAATATGGGATGGGAGGCAGACAGAATGTGATAGCATATGATGACATCACACAACAATCTCCCCCTCTGGCTGCCAACCATCATCCACCACACCAATATCTCAAGCATGCATACTCAATGCACACTCATCCCAGCAAGCTTCATGCCCTTCCAATGATCCGCCTCCGCCAGACGCTTGGTGAAAATATCTGCTGCCTGCTGATGGGTCTTCACTATCTCCAGCCGCACCTCCTTATCAAGGAGTCTCCTCACCCAGTGCCACTTAGGCCTTATGTGTTTTGTCAGCCCATGCAGACAAGCATTCTTGGCGAGCTTCACAGCAGACTCATTGTCACAGAACACAACTGTCGGCTCCTCCTGACCAACTCCCAACTCCTCCAACAAACGCCTTAGCCACACTACTTCCTTGGCCCCATGGTGTAAGGCCATGTACTCAGTCTCATATGAAGACAATCCCACCTCATTCTGCTTCTTGCTGCGCCAGCTCACAGCACCACCTCCTAGCAAGCACACATAACCCCCAATGCTGGTGCCATCCGCTTTTACTGAGTTGAAGCTAGCGTCAGTACCTTAGGCTGAGGAATTGCAGCCCAATAGCACAATGCAATCTCATCTTCCTCAATCTGCTCAACCACACTCCCAGCCTGCACCACATTCGGCTTGCCTCTTCCCCCATAGGTCAGCCTCACCGGAGGGCGCACATCCCTCCTAGGTCGCTCAGGCGGGTGTGGAACTCGAGGTGGAGACTCATGTTGCTGCTGCTGCTGCTCCTCTACTTCAGCTGCTCCCCCTTCCTCAGTCACCCCAGACATCTCCTCCTCTGACACTGCAACCTCCACCTGTCTTGAAGGCTGCTGCACCTCATCTGCCTCCACAATGAGCGGTGTAGATGGAAGCTTCTGTTGCTGCTGCTTCCATTCCTTGTAGTACAGGGACTCAAGAAACTTCACATCCCTTGACACTGTCAGCTTCTGGGTGGTCAAGTCCCATAGCAGCCATCCCTTGTGATCCTTTGCAATCCCCAAGTGCACACCCCATCTTCCAGAAGCCTCCAACTTCCCTCTTTTCTCCTTAGGCACATGAAACACTACCATGCACCCAAATGCCCTCAGCATATTCACAGGTGGAGCACTCCCATACCACTTGGTATATGGGATCCACTCCTTATCCCCAACTGTAGCCAGCACCCTATTCTTCACAAGGGCGACCTGCCTCAATGCAGACACCCAAAACGGATCAGGCAGCCCTGCACGCCCAAGGAGAGTGCGTGCCCCCTCCTGCAGGGTCCTGTTGAACCTCTCAGCCACGCCATTCTGCTGCGGATTGTAGGGCACTGTCAGTTGATGCTGGATCCCCTTCCTCTTCAACTCCCCCTCAAAATCAGCTCCAATGAACTCCCCACCATTGTCACTGCGGATCACCTTCACCTTGTGTCCGCATTCCCTCTGAGCTCTAGGCATCCACTCCTTAAGGACAGCCGCTGCCACCTCCCCCTTGCTGTTCAAAGGGTAAACCCACACTGCCCGAGTGTGGTCATCCACAATTGTCAAGAAATAGCGGCTGCCTGAGAGGGAAGGGGCTCTTGTGGGCCCCACCACATCCATGTGCACAAGTGCAAGTGGGGTCTTGGCTGGTCCTGTTGCACTGTTGAAGGGGAACTTGGAGAACTTGGTCTCCAAGCATGTAGGGCACCTCCCAATCTCCTTCACTTCCCCTTTCACCTCCAAGCCCTTCAGGCTCCCATTCTTCACCAACTTCTGCAGCATAGGGAAGTTCACATGACACAACCTCTCATGCCATGTCTCCCAATCGGCCTCTCCACTCCTTGATGAAGCCTTAGCCCATGCCGCACTCGCATCCACACCAGCAAGCACCTCACCATGTGTCTGCTGCTGCTGCACTTTCTTGACTGCTTCCAGGACCCCATCAATTGGTGCAGTTGCATCTCCTCCTGCTGTTGCCTTTGCCGCTGCTGCCGTTGCTGCTGTTGGAGTCTTCCCATTCCAAGGGATGATGGGCAGCTGCCACAGGTCCTTGATGCAGCTGGTCTCCTCTTCCAGACTCCACAGCACCTTCTTCCCAAGCTTAGCACGGCAGCTGGTTGGTCCAAAGGTCACTTCGGCCTTACTCTTCTGCAGTCGCCGCACAGAGAGAAGGTTAGCAGACAAGCCTTTAACCAGCAGAACATTCCCAAGCCCCACAAGCTCCCCATTAGCTCCCTTAACCTTGGCATTCCCAACACCAATCACGGGGAGCAAAGCACCTGATGCTGCTGCCACATACTTGATCTTCCCAGGGGGTTTTACCTCATCAAGCAAATCTGCCCGTGGAGTCATGTGACTGGTGCAACCCGAATCAATCACCCAGTGCGTGAGAGGGTGCATCACAACCTTTCCCACAGATCCCACATCACCCTCATGCCCATGCACATCCTCAACCATGAGATACATCCCAGGATAGGCGTTACCTTGTGCACCTTCACCTTGTGCACCTGAGCCTTGCACAGCGCCACCTTGTGCGCGTTCACCACTTGGCGGCTTCATGCCTGGAGGTGACCATCCCTCCGGCCTGCTGAAGCACTTGAACCAAGGATGCCCGACCTTCTTGCAGTACCAGCAGGTGCCCTCCATTCTGGTACTCCCCCTGCCACTGGAGCTCCCATGCCCCTCATTATAGTCACCTCGGCCTCTACCTCTGCCAAAGCTTCTCCCACGGCCTCGGCCTCTCCAACCCCCTCTTCCTCTGCCGCGCCCTGCAGCTCCATACCCCTCAGCAGTCTTAGTGGCAGCACCGCCTCCCACATGGCGTCTGCGGAAGTCCTCCTGCAGAATCTGCTGCCTTAGCCACTCAGGTGTCCATTGATCTTGCTGAGAGTTGAGGGTGGGGATGAGGTTGTCCCAAGAGTTGTCCAACACCGAGATGATCTTGGTGCACTGCTGCAGCTGAGATACACTGCTGCCCGCTGCTGCCATCCTTGCATAGGTGTCCTTGATCTTGTCAAGGACCGGCTTCACATCGTCCCCTGGTCGCATGGAGATGGCAGCAAGTTCCTTCTCGAGCACGATCACCATCGGGAGAGTGTTGGGCTGAATCACATCGCGTAGTAGTTTCCACGCCCTTGGACCCGAATCATCCGCTTCCACAAGATCCTTGATGTGCTCGAACATCTCCTTGTTGACCGATTGAAGGATGAGGTCGAAAAGCACCGCGCTTTTCTCAATCCACGGTTCGCGTGCTTCGCCTTCTTCTGGCATCTTCTCTTCCCCAACAGCAATCTTCAGTAGCTTGTAGCGTTTGAAGGCACTCCTCATCCGTCCGCTCCATTCCTCATAGTTGGAGCCATCCAAAGCTTCAACTTTTGATGGCGGCGGCTCACTTGCCTTCTCAGCTATAGCTCCTCTTCCATTAGCATCTCCTCCTCTCTCATTCATCTTCTCCTTGAGAAATGACGAATTTCAGCCCCCCTTTGCTGTCCACACTCAGCTCCCTCGATATTTTCACAAGTATCGGCGTCCACGAAATTTCGGCAGAGTTTCCCTTAGCGGAAGTCACATCCAACCTTTAGAACACCACTTAGGCACACCCACAGGCCATGGTGGGTCTAGAAGGGTCTTTACACTTCTGTAGACTCCTCTGAATGTTCTTAATATGGCTCTGATACCACTTGTTAGGATTAAGGACGGAGTCTAGGTGAACTTAGGAGCTAGAATAACTCAAAATATAAATCCGAAATTCTGGACAGAAAAGTCGTCTTTACAAGAAACGACGTCGACGAAAAACTAGCCGTTGGAATGTCGCGAAACTTGGATATGTTGTATCTCTTAATCTCAGCTACCGTTCCCAATTTGAATCACGTTGATTGATGAAGTATTCGCGACGCTATGGCTTTCGACGCATTAGGGGGTAAGCTGTAGGAGGAGAACTTAACTCAATCTCAAAGGTTCAATCAAAGTTCAAGAATCTCACAAGGAATTAAAGGAGCAAGAGAAAGGTTGGGATAGAAGAGAGGGATGAGAGGGAAGGTCCCAAGAGAGTCCCCAACCAAGGAAACCACATAAGCACAAAGATTCCCTCCCTATAGGAACCCCAACTTTGACATTTGTCCCTTCCCAACCAATCCATCCAAGTTGGCCACCCTTGCCAACCTAGCTTGGTTGTTCCCAACCAATTTGCAGCTGTTACAGTGAGTGACAAATTTCCCCAACCCCCAAAGGTCCCAACTCCATATAGAGTCACCCCACAACTTCACTTTGTAACCGCCGCAATTGTAACGCAAGCTCATGAACTTTGAATCTTCATAGCTTTCGCGTTCTTGCTCCGATTGAAGGGATTCTCGTTGCGTCGGAAAGATCTTCTCAAGATCTATCATCACAAAAAAACCTGCTCAAACAAAATAACACAAAACACATTCCCAAACTCCAGAACACATCACACACAAATTCTTGCACACGTTCAAACCACACATGCAAGTTGAAAAAATATGGGATGGGAGGCAGACAGAATGTGATAGCATATGATGACATCACACAACACTTGTCTACGTCGACGACCTGGTCTTTGCCACAGCAGACAGGGACGCACTAGCCTCCGTGAAGGCAGAGCTTCTGAAGAGACACACCTGCACTGACCTTGGAGAACTGCGCCGTTACCTTGGCTTGCAGATCTCCAGGGACAGAGCTGCGCGCACCATCACCCTGACTCAGTCACACTTGGTGCGCCAGGTCCTTCAGAGGTTCAGCCTTCAGTTCTCCTCTGCACAGCCCACCCCTCTGCATGTAGACCACAGACTCTCCGCTCCAGTGTCTGAGGAGTTGGTAGAGCCCAGCGGCCCCTACGCAGAGCTGGTGGGTTGCCTCATGTACCTGATGACTTGCACTCGCCCAGATCTCGCATACCCTCTCAGCATCCTGGCTCGCTTTGTGGCCACAGGCAAACACCGACCGCAGCACTGGTCTGCCGCTAAGAGGGTTCTGCGTTATCTTGCTAGTACATCGGGCATGGGGTTAGTGCTAGGAGGACGCAGACCAGTGGTCCTTACTGGACACACAGACGCTTCGTGGGCAGACGACGCTGAGACGCTCAGGTCTACCCAGGGCTACTGCTTCAGCCTTGGCTCAGCTGCCGTCTCGTGGAGAGCTACCCGCTCCTCGTCTGTAGCGCAGTCCAGCTGTGAGGCTGAGATCTACGCTGGTGCCATGGCGGCACAGGAGCTCCGCTGGCTGACCGTCTTGCTCACTGACTTAGGTGAGCGGCCTACCTCGGCCCCGGTCCTGTTCGCTGACAACAGGGCCATGATCCTCCTGTGTCAGGAGCCTCGACTCGAGGGCAGAGCGAAGCACATTCAGCTGCGGTACTTCCTCCTGCGTGAGCTACAGCAGCGACGTCAGGCTCACGTAGTACACTTGGCCTCAGGTGCCAACACGGCTGATATCTTTACGAAGGCGCTTGCGCCTAAAGATCATCATCGGCACTGTGTACAGCTTGGTCTAGTTCCTGTAGCCTCTCACTTGCTAGGACCTTGACTTTGTACTGTCCTTTATACGTATACTCAGACTGGACTTGTGTCCTCTCGCAGTGGCTGGACTAGTAGTGCCGCCCTGCCCTTGTTCTTGCCTTGTTTGTACTCCTTCTAACTGGTCTCTTAGACCCTTGTCTCAGAGGTTGGACTAGTAGTGCCGCCCTGAGCTGTTTGTTTAGGGCATTCCCCTATGCAGTCTAGGGGGTGTGTCAAACATGTGTATTTGTCATGTTTGTATAGACTGTATAGGGTTGCCTCTTAGAGAGTACAACACTTAGGTATATCTTTGTGTACTCTCACTCTATCATATATTCAATTTCAATTTGATACTATCTGCTGCAGTGTAGATAGAGACAGTAAAAGCGTGTTCCTGTGGCCTCTTCCCAGAATTGCGTGCAGTGTAACGTAATTTTGACGCAAAACACTAGTGCGGTTCCGCGTGGTGATGCGAAATTGAGATTGTCGAGGTTCAAGGCGCGTTCTCAATTCTCGTTTCTTTCGCGAAATTTCAGATGCGCGCGAATCTGTACAGTGCGATTTTGACGCGAGCTGATTCATTGCGGTGAAGAACGCGATTCTAAAAAGAATTACCGTAATCCCCCGTATATAACTGCCAAGATTATATAAGTTATATATAATTGATAGGCTTGATAGTTGTTACTGAACCTTGCTGTAGAGGGTACAATCCCCTCGTTGTACTCCTCTCTGTTCCTAATCGATACCCTTCTTTCCCGACATTCTCTCTCCCGCTCCTAGATCTATTTTCCTCACGCCATTCCATGGCGGCATTCCTTGTATCCTAGCTAAGTTAGCGTCCTAAGTTTAAGAGGCTAGTGTCCTAAGTTTCTAAGATGGTATCAGAGCCGGTTCCTTCAACCGGACCGTTTTCTATCACTTCCGCTGCGCATTCCTCGCTCTCTTGCTCTGCCATGGCCGCCGCCGCTTGCTGCTGTGGCGGCGTCGTCGTACCGCGGCGTCGCGCTGTTGTGGTGTCGACGTCTAGCCGACGCGGCGACGTCGCTGTTAAGCCGTCGCGACGTGCCGGCGCCGCCGTGCTGCCTCAGCGACATGGTGCGCGGGCGCATTCGTCTCTGACGACAGCGGCCGGCGCCGGGCCTTAGAGCACGCCAGCACGCCCACGACCTGTTGCGCCACACCGGGGGGCTGCTGTTGCCCTGCCCCCTGTCCTCTGCATCCCCTCTTCCTCGCCGCAGCCGACGGCTGCCTTGCACCGGCAGTCCCACCGTCGCGGAACCTGGCCACGCCGCCGAGTGGGGCGAGCGCCGCCGCCGCCGCTGCTGTTGTCGAAGCACCCGCCGCCGCCGCTGTTGCCGCTGGCCTACTTGCCGCCGCACGCCGCCGCCGCCGCTGCTGTCATCACTGCCGCCGCCGCCGTGGTCGCCACCGCACCCTCGTAGCTGTCGTCGCTGCCCCGCCCGCGGAGAGGTCTACCGGGTTGTCAACAGCCACTGCTGCTGCAGGGTAGTAGGGGCTAGGTTAGGGGGTGTGTGGTGTATGGTGTGTTGGGTGGGTGTGTGACTACCAAGCCTAGGGGGTGTGTCAAGATTATATAAGTTATATATAATTGATAGGCTTGATAGTTGTTACTGAACCTTGCTGTAGAGGGTACAATCCCCTCCTTGTACTCCTCTCTGTTCCTAATCGATACCCTTCTTTCTCGACATTCTCTCTCCCGCTCCTAGATCTAGTTTCCTCACGCCATTCCATGGCGGCATTCCTTGTATCCTAGCTAAGTTAGCGTCCTAAGTTTAAGAGGCTAGTGTCCTAAGTTTCTAAGAATAACACCCGCCGAAGTAGTCACTCCGTGGGTGGTTAATATGGGGGGGAGCTTATGATACGGTGCATTTTTGAGAGCACCCGTTTTTCTGGCATTGAATTTTACATAACACCCTCCTCGTTTTATTCGTTTTAAAGCTGAATTTGTTCTTGTCTTACAAGGTCCGCTCAGCTGCAAAAAACGAGCATGATGAAATCGTGCGTCAACAACCATTAGCACCGGAAAACCGGGCAGAATTGAATTGTTGGGAATCGAATTGAGGGGAAGGAGGAATCGAATTGTGGGGGAAGGGGGAATCGAAAATGTGGGGGGAAGGGGGAATCGAAAATGTGGGGGGAAGGGGGATTCGAAATTTTCAGGGAAGGGGGATTCAAAATTGTCGGTGAAGGGGGAATCGAAATTATCGGTGAAGGGGGATACGAAATTGTCGGGGGGAACTGAAACCGTCGGGCCAGGGGGTTAGGGCGTGTCCAGCGCGTACGTTTACAGTACACGGATCACGGTTCAGTAGGATATATCGCGATCGGGAGCGGTTTTCGCGCTTCACAACGTTGGACCTCTGCAAACCATATTGAACCGCATAAAGTGAATTGTAAACGAACGCGCTGGACACGCCCTTACGATATTGCGGGGGAGACATGAAAATCAAATTGTTTTTCCTCGTTAGCAGCTGCTCCGCACCCTTATGGGCAAATAGGGCATGGAACACTCGAATTCATTTTGCATTTTACATAACACATGGGCGTTATGTTTTTCCGAGCCACTGTTAACACCCACTCATTTTTTAAGTGAATTCTCATATCCACCATAGGGTGTTATATACGGGGGATTACGGTAACAGGAGAATCGGTTCTTCGAGCACGCTCTCAGTCGAGGACTGATTTTGGGAAGAGGAAGCCTGGTGGGAAGAGGTTGGCGCTCTAAGATGATTCATTCCCTTCAGTTCAGATGCACCGGCAAAGGCAAGAACGAAAGGAAACGAGTGTGGTGAGGGGCGGCCAGAGCGATCATGGTGGCAAATGAGCATGGGGACGGGTGTCAGAAACCCCCCCAGGCTCTGCACCTGTGGCCCTTCTCCGAGGATCTTTTCAAGGGTAACCCAGCGGGTCACTCGACACCCCCCCTCGCTAGGATAGGTGGAAGACACGAGCGCCTCTGCAGCACTAGCACTGGGACTAGAACCCAAAACCTTTGGCTCTGGTACGATGTCAAAAACCCAATCACTAACCACTGGGTTAAAAGGGCTTGTTGAAAAGCGGGTAAGTGCACTCATAACTCCCCAGGCTCTGCACTTGTGGCCCTTCACCGAGGATCTTTTCAAGGGTAACCCAGCGGGTCACTCGACAACGGGTATGAGGAGATGTCTTGGGTGTGAGATTATCGAGAATGTGTGCTAAGGGGAAAATGTTGAGGGATACAAAACTAGGGCTGTACCCTCTAAGAATGGCCTAACTAAGGCTATAACAAATATAAACTAGCTAGCCTAGATAATTATATTTGTTGACACACCTCCTAGCCTAGATAGTGGCAGTTCATGACAAGGAAAAGTACACCATAGCAGCACTACTAGTCTGACCTCTGGTGAGGATAACAAGGCAACTACTAGTCACCATAACAAGGCAACTAGTTAGTCTGACCTCTACTAGTCTGCCATAACAAGGCAACTCAGGGCAACACTGCTAGTCTGACCACTGAGTCACGAGGCCACAAGGCCAGTCAGCAAGTGAAGCAAGAAAAGCAGATATAGAACAAGTACAAGCAAGTATAGTACTATGACTCAGGATACAAAGAGTGGTGCTGCCACTGAGGCTAGACCAAGCTGAGTACAGAACCGCTGATGGTCACGAGGCGCAAGTGCCTTGGTGAAGATGTCAGCGGTTTTGGCCTCTAAGGCCAACTGTACCACACGAACCCGACTGCGCTGCTGCAACACACGCAGCAGGAAGTACCGCAGCTGGATGTGCTTCGCGCTGCCCTCAAGTCGAGCCTCCTGACACAGGAGGATGACCCTATTGTCAGCAAACAGGACCAGGGCAAACCTAGGCGGCTCACTTAAGTCAGTGAGCACAAACGACAGCTAGCGGAGCTCCTGAGCGGCCATGGCCCCGGCGTAGATCTTTGCCTCACAACTGGACTGAGTTACA